TGTTTAGCTCTTTAGCCCATTTTTTAATTGGATTGTTCAGTATTTTGATGTCTAGTTTCTTGAGTTTTTTATATACTTTGGAGATCAGTCCTCTGTCAGATGTGGGGTTGGTGAAGGTCTTTTTCCATACTGTAGGCTGTCTTTTTGTCTTATTGACCATGTCTTTTGCCCTACAAAAGCTTCTCAGTTTCAAGAGGTCCCATTTATTAATTGTTGTTCTCAGTGTCTGTGCTACTGGTGTTATATTTAGGAAGTGATCTCCTGTGCCAATGCATTCAAGAGTACTTCCTACTTTCTTTTCTATCAAGTTCAGTGTAACTGGATTTATGTTGAGGTCCTTGATCCACTTGGACTTGAGTTTTATGCATGGTGACAGATATGGATCTATTTGTAATCTTTTACATGTTGACATCCAGTTATGCAGCACCATTTGTTGAAGATACTTCCTTTTTTCCATTGTACAGTTTTGGCTTCTTTGTCAAAAATCAGGTGTTCATATGTGTATGGATTAATGTCAGGGTCTTCAATTCGATTCCATTGGTCGGTATGTCGGTTTTTATGCTAGTACCAAGCTGTTTTTATTACTATAGCTCTATAGCAGAGCTTGAGGTCAGGGATTGTGATGCCTCCAGAGGTTGCTTTATTATACAGGATTCTTTTAGCTCTCCTAACTCCAGCCCTCTTGAACAATATGCCCAATCACACACTTTCTTTTATCAGTTGCCTTGGTCATGGTGTTTCATCACAGCAATAAAAAAGTAACTAACACAGATAGTCATGGAAACTTTCTAAAGTTGCAACTAAACTGGTAAATTTGCTATAAAAAATAAACACAGGGACCCAAATATAGGATATAAGCAAGGTATAGGAAGCAAGTGTTTGAGGTACATGAACTGAGACTTCTCCAGTCATCTGGAAAAAAGGAAAGGAAAATCTGACCATGGATAGTGTGAAGAAATCAGAGGATGGGGTTGGAGAAGAGTGATTAAAGAGCTAAAAGTTTATTCTGACAATAAGACAAGGGAGGCTAGTCATGGTAATACAGCAGGAAGACTGTGAGTTCCTAGAATAGATAGCAAATTCCAAGCCAGTCTAGGATACCTAGTAAGAATTTGTCATTTTAAAAATGCAGAAAAAAAATACTCTGAAGTTTTATAATAAATAAAATTATAATATCAGAATTGGGATTCAAATAGATTTACTGTACAGAGCAGACTATGTTGGGAGCTAGGGCATTGAGGCAAAGGGGTGATATCAAGAATGAAAAAGAAATAAGTTTGGGTGCTATTGTGATACCTGAGACAAGATGATAAAGACAATGTAGAAAGAAAAATGAGCTGATACAAAAGATACTTTGCATCCTGAAAGCTCCTGGGAAGGGGCTGGGAGACTAGGGTCAAAGAAAAACTATCTAGACTCTGGTACACACACACACACACACACACACACACACACACACACACACACACACACACACCAGTCACTTCAAAGGCATACACCTTGAGTACTAACAGCCAGCCAGTAGAGCAAAATTCTGTGGAAAAGCTAGAAAGGAGCAATTAAAAAGGAACCCAGAGGGCAAATCAACAGAGCTTGGTAGGCACATGGGTTTAGAAGTCAAGTACACCGAGAAGCACCAAGTATCCTTGTGTCTAGCAACAAGGATGCCATGTGTAATAATTTAGCCTGGTAGTGAAAGATGATAGGAAGCTAAAAATCAGGCATTCAGCAAGAGTACAAAAAGTGTAAGCACATATGAAATGAAGTGTGAAGAATACTGACAGTTAAAGGTTTAACCATGGATGCTACGAAAAGAAAAATGTAAACACCAACCTAACTATAAACCCTTTGATCTACAGTAGTGCCCTGCCTGCAAAATATGCTAGTGCAATGGCGCACAAAGCCTGTGGGAGTAAACAACCAATTTCTAATTTGAGTTAAGGCCCACTACATGAAATTAAACCCATACTCAACACTGCTTGGGTGACCAAAAAGGTAGGACCAGATAGTCCAGGGACCGAGGATAAAACCAAATACTACTGTCTACTAAAGGAAAATAGAAATAAAATGACTCCTAATGGCATTCTGCTATACTCATAGATCAATATCTTGCTTGGTCATCATCAGAGAAGCTTCTTTCTGCCACAGATGGGAACAAATACAGAGACCCATAGCCAGACAACATTCAGAGAGTGAGAGACCTCAGAACACTGTTCCCTAAACAGGATTTTCCATTAAATCCCTCCTCTCAGAGCTCAGGGAACCCTGTGTAAGAGGAGGAAAAAAACTTGTAATAGCCAGTGGGAATAGAGAACACCAAGGAAGCATGACTCTTACTGTCATTTTATTTATTTATTTATTTATTTATTTATTTATTTATTTATTTATTTATTTTTAATAAATTTTCCTTGGGGCCCCCTGGCAGTAGGATCAGGATCCATCCCTGCTGCATGAGCAGGCTTTTTGGAGCCTACTACCTATCGTGGAACAACTTGCACAGCCTTGAGGTAGGGGGAGGGGCTTGGACTTGCTTCTACTGAATGTACCAGGCTCTGCTGACTTCCCATGGGAGGCCTTACATTCTTGTAGGAAGGAATGAGTTGGGGTGGGGGAGGCTGGAGGGGCGGGAGGAGGGAAGAGGAGGATCTGTGATTGGTATGTAAAATGAATAAAAAAATTTCTTAATAAAAAAAGAAATTTACCTATGTATTTTGGTTTTGTATTTTTATGAGATTCCTGAGTGTGCAAATGAGTGTGTCTCTGCATCTGTATCTGTTTCTTGCACCTTTTCTTGGGCTTTTTTCATTCTGTTTGTTTATTTTGTCCTATTCTGATTTGTTTGCTTTTGCTTGGTCTTATTATTATTATCCTTAAGATGTCTGGTTTTTTTCTAATAAGAGACAGAAAGGGAGTGGATCCAGATGAGAGGGAAAGTGGGGAGTTACTGGGAGGAGTAGAGGGAGTGATTGGGATATATTATATGGGGAAAAAATCTATTTTCAAAAAAAGAAAAAAAGAAAAGAATTGCCAGGATACAGCTTTTAGTCTTCTGTAGACTCATCTAATCCAATGTCCTGGAAGGCTGTGCTATCCCAAGTAGAGATAAGCCTAGGAGTAGTGGATTGCAAGAAACACCAATGATGGTCCTGTTGAATTAGCTTGGAGAAGCTATTCAATTTCTTGGTGACTTCTGCACCTCATTGTGAACTGAGTAGACTGTACTGCTATTTCTTTTTTTTTTTTTTTTTTTGTTTTTTTGTTTTTCGAGACAGGGTTTCTCTGTGTAGCTTTGCGCCTTTCCTGGAACTCACTTGGTAGCCCAGGCTGGCCTCGAACTCACAGAGATCCGCCTGGCTCTGCCTCCCGAGTGCTGGGATTAAAGGCGTGCGCCACCACCGCCCGGCTATGTACTGCTATTTCTTAACTCATAGAGTTTTTTTTTAAATAAAACAGATTCATCGAGTACATGGCAAGGGGCAGCTTAGTGGGCAGAAGCAAGACTAATTAATTACCTAAGACTTAGAAAATATATATGTGCTAATTTTTATATATGTATGTGTCAGCGGTACATGTATGTTCATGTAGGTGTGTGGACATACAAGTGGATGCCAGAGATTGAGGTCTGGTGTCTTCTTTTATTGCTTCCCATCTTATTTTTTGAGATAAGGTCTCTCAATGACCCTGAATTTCACAAATTTGGATAGACTTGCTGGCCAGTAAGATCCAGGGTTCTCCTGTCTCCAAACCATCTCTCTTCCAGCACTGGAGTTACAAATGTTCACCACCATACCTAGCTTTTTATGTGGGCACTGGGACCAAACATAGGTCCTCATGCTTGCCTAGAAAGTATCTTCTCAGTTGAACCATCTTTCCAGCTCCATAGAATACTTTTTGAAGTTTAAATAAGATATTGCAGGTAAAAGTTGCTCACAATATTTTGCATAGTAAATATTTGCTATTATTATTGGTTACAGTTTAAATTATTAAAAGTTAATAAACTTGCATACTAAATATAACTTACCCTGACTGGCCTGGTACTTGCTATGTTAGACCAGTCTGACCTGGAACTCCCACAGACCTGCCTCCTGCCTCCTGCCTCCTGCCTCCTGCCTCCGCTTCTGCAGAGTGCTGGGATTAAAGGCATATGCTAACACAACCCACCTAAATAAAATTTTACATTACTTGAAATTACCCAGCGTCTGATAGTTCTTGCTATCAGATGAAGTGAAAGAACCATTTAGGCCAACAGTCTCATCCTGTAGCCAGCTTCTGAGTCCTAAAGGGATTTTCCCACGGTAATAGCACTAATAGCTGAAACATGTGTAAATACCTCCGTTTTTGCTTTTTGTAATGATTCACTGGAGATAGTAACTGACAACCACACTCATTAAGTCAATTAAAATTTTTGTGTCCTTTTTATTAAAGGCCAAAGAGCAGGCTGGAGCCTCTGAAAAGTCTCTTGGTGCCCAAGCTCAGAGATATATAGATTTTCAAGGCAAAGCCCACTAAGACACATGAAAGTTAGATGAGGGTTAGAGTAACCTTGACAAAGAATAGTAGTTGGTTTAGACATAACTTGCCAATTATTTCGGTTAATACATTTGGACGATGGTCAAGGCCATGGAAATCTTAAATGTATTGCCAAGGCTGACTGGGCTGAGAACTCTCTAAGCAAACAAAAAATGTAGTCAAAACAAGATGGCGTTATCTTAATCATTTTATTTTCATTATCTTTTCTACTATGCCCAACATCCAAGCTCGGCTTGTTGTTTTTTGAGAAATCATTCCAAATTATATCACCATTCAACTTCCTTTTGTTTGGATAAACTAGAGACCAGTCCAAGAACTTGGTCCAGAACAGTCCGCCAATCCCACAGGTGGCGCTGAAGCACTGTCAGGGGAGTTGCTGGCAGCCGGAGAGGCTCCTCTGTCGGACGAACCAGCGCTAGCGATTTCGTCATCGCGTTCTGGTACGCGGCCGCCGCCCGCGTAAATTTGAAATGGCTGAGGAACTGCGTAAGGGTGTACTTCTGGAGCCTGGAGCTATGGTTCCAGCGAGCCCCGATTTGGCGGCCGAGGAGGATCCGGCGTCCCGGAAGGAAGGTGAGCATTTCAGAGGGCTGCTTCCACGGCCGCGGGCGGCCGGGCCACCTGCGTGGGAGGGCTGTTCCGAGCCTGCATCCGGACCTCGGAGCCGGGAGCTACTGTGGCCACCCTAGGCTCTCCATCCTCTTGACTTAGCTTCCGGAGTGTAGAGGGACTTGGATCTGGCCATGGAGATTCTATTTCCAATTTAATTTTTATTTGCCAGTTTAGGACCTTGCATATGCTAGGGAAGCACTGGGAAGCACTCTACCACTGAGCACATCCCCAGTTCCTGTTTTGTTTTTTGTTTTGAGGCAGGGTCTCTACATAGTCCTGGGTGACCTGAAACTGACTATGTAGACCAGGCGAGCCTCGAACTCAGAGTTCCACCTGCCTCTGCTTCCCAACATTCCCGGCCCTGTCATTTTTCCCCTCCCCCCTGTTAATTTCTTAAAGCTAGTTTATATTAACACATTCAGCTATAATGTGCAGTGTAATCAGTTCTGTTAAAGTGAGAAATCATAGGTGTGACTTAATTCTGCTACTAACCTGCTACTAGCCAAACTGTTTATGTACAGTTTACCCCCTTAGAAAACAACCAGTAGCTCTGATAGGAAAATGCAATAATATGAAAAGTCAGTTTTAAAAAGCTGTAAGGAACTACATTTTTATGCTAGCATATATGGAATATAAAAAAGTTGAACTTACAAGCTAGGGGTGATGGTGCCTGCCTGTGGTCTCAGCACTTGAGTGGTAGGAGCAGTAGTGACAGGGAAAAGGTCATCCTTGAGAGTTGTTTACCAAAGGAGACTTAATGAACAGTGTGAGTAGATGGTGTATTCTCACCACTCTATGAAGCTATGTGAGGTAATGGAAATCAGCCTTCTTGTGGTCATCATTTCTTAATATATAAATATAAACATGAATGTCTCCAGCAGATGAGTTTATTAAATTTCTTGGGAAAGTCTAAAATTATTACATTAAGGACAAATACTTGGCTGGTGGCATTTAAACTGTTCTTTGATGTCTGTCTCATAGGAGAAAAACATGAAGAATAGTTTCTGTAGCAGTTTCTTCAGTAGTTACTCAGGCACTCCTGTAGGAGCAGTTGGATCAGTTCAAATCACTGCTTTGCTTTCAAAGCAAGCAGTTTAGATGTGTGTACAGTGATGATGGACATGTAATAAGAATTCCTGGAAAGAAGCTGTGTGTGCAAAGGCATATTTGACCTGTATGTGTAAAAGTTTATTTAAGGCATGTGTACAGTGTCTGATTGACTTCAGTGATGTGGAGAAGTTGTTTGTTCTAATTATAGTTTATCTTGGGCTCCTTTAAATAATCACTCCTTGCCCACCTCTGTGTCAGATCTAATATCCCATGATTAACAGATGAACGCCCTATGACTAGCAGATGCAGCTAAACAGCATTTTGAATGCATTAAGTTAAAAAACTCTAGTTTCTACCAGTCAAAGAGCTAAGAATACTATCAGAATCTGACGTTTATAGCTGAGATTTCTCTGCTTGCCTATAACTTGCCTCTGGTTTCCACCAATGTATTTGAAAAATATCTTGATTTATGACTTTTTTTAAATTCTGTTACTATAAAAAACTTAATGAAACTGCTTCCACATTGGAACATAGAATTTGGGGTAACCTAAAACTGTGTTCCTGGGTCATGGTCACTATGCTGGCTAATTTTATGTCAACTTTACACAAGCTATATCTGAAATGACTGAACCTCAATTGAGAAAATGCCTCCACAAGATCTATCTGTAGGGCATTTTCTTAATTGATGGTTGATGGGGGAAAACCCAGCCCATTGTGGACGGCGCTATCCCTGGGCTAGTGGTCCTGAGTTTTCTAAGAAAACAGGCCGAGCAAGCCAGTAAGCAGTACCCCTCTATGGCCTCTGCATCAACTCCTGCCTCCAAGTTTCTGCCCTGTGTGAGTTCCTACCCTCACTGCTTTTGATGATGAACTGTTATGAGGAACAGTGAGTGAAATAAACCCTTTCCTCTCTAAGTTGCTTTTGGTCATGGTGTTTCATCACAGCAGTAATAACCCCTAACTAAGATGGTACTTATATTTGACTCCAGAATGAACTCTTTTATCCCTTCCCAAGTGATAATTGTGTTGATAGGACCATTTTCATTTTTTTTCTTCAGCTGTCAGTTCACTCTAACTGTTGGATAGTGTACACAGGATAGTGTCATTTTCACAGGTAGGAAAATAATGCTCTCTTTGATCTCATGTCTTTCTTTCAGGAAACAGTGTTTAGCTTCTTCTATATGAGCTTTTAAATCTGCTTTTGGAGTTGAACTCAACATGGCAGCCATAATACCTGCATTGGAGAACTTGTCTTTGAATGAAATTGATCAATTTCACTTGCTAATAGAAATTTAATTCAAGGTCTGACTTTATTTTGAGGAGATCTAGTTCATGTGTGTACGTCATGTGCACATAAACTCTCCCAATAATTCATACTTTCCATTTGGTTTTCATAAAGTACATAGCAGAAATCAGATGTTCTTCCCATTAAGATCAGTCATGATAGTGATAGTCTAGCAGGCCCTGATAGTCTTTGAACTTATTCCCATGACTTTCCAAATTCCAACTAGTTAATGACAGAGAATTAGTCAAATTCTCTGCTTTGGGATTGATTTAGTGATGCTATGTTTTTATCTCAGGTGATTTTTAAGTGTGTTTTTTGTCTTCTGACAGTGCAAACACTGTAAATTATTAAGTTTTTTTTCTGTAATATATGTGGGAATTCACTGTTGTTTACAGTTTCTGGACAATTCTTCACTGCTTAAAATATGCAAATACTGTGGACATTGGTTTCAAATTGTTCCAGAATTTCTTTAAGTATGTTTCTAAAGCTCTTCTCTAATAATTGCATCTTCTTGTGAAAACATCATATAACACAAAGTAGTTATCTTTTTCTTCAAATGGAGCTCTGACATTGATTCTTAACAAAAATTTGTGATGAGTAGTTTTTTTTTCTTCAATATGAAATGTACCTTTAAAATCTGCAACCAACAGTGTTGACTTTGCAGTCTTCAGCTCAATAGTCACGTGCTTTAGAAATTTGTCTTGTTTAGCTCTAGGAAAATGCTCTCCAAAGAACATACAAGCTGAATGGAGAACCATCTAAAGTGGAAAATCAGGAGCAAGATTGCATTCTTCTACGTGCAGATATCTAGTTAGACCAGCCCACTCTCTCCATATCTATACAATATAGTACTTGACGTTCTAGCTAGAACAATAGGACAACTGAAGGAGACCAAGAAGATACAAATTGGAAAGGAAGAAGCCTAAGTATAGCTATGTACAGATGATATGATAGTATAATAAGCAGCCCAAAAAATTTTACCAGAGAACTCCCTGCAGCTGAAAAACACCTTCAGCAAAGTGGCTGGATACAAGATTAACTCAAAGAAATTATGAAAACAACACTCTTCACAATAGCCACAAATATAAAATATCTTGAAATAACTCTAACCAAGTAAATGAAAGACTTGTATGATAAAAACTTCAAATTTTTGAAGAAATAAATTGAAGAAGATATCAGAAGATGGAAAGGAAAGATCTCCCTTGCTCATAGATTGGTAGGGTCAATATAGTAAAAATGACCATCTTACCAAAAGCAATCTACAGATTCAACGCAGTTCCCATCAAAATTCCAACAGAATTCTTAACAGACTTTGGAAGGGCAATATTCAACTTCAAATGGAAAGACAAAAAACCCTACAATAGCTAAAACAATCTTGAATAATAAAAGAACTTCTAGAGGGATCATCATCCTTGATTTCAAGCTGTACTACAGAGCTATAGTAATAAAAAACACATGGTATTGGCATAAAAACAGACATATCGATCAATGGAATCAAATTGGAAGTTCATATATAAATTCACACACCTATGGTCACCTGATTTTTTTTATAAAGAAGACAGAAAGACACAATGAAAAAGAGAAAGCATCTTAAACAAATGGTGCTGGTCTAACTAAATATCTGCACGTAGAAGAATGCAAATAGATCCATATTATCCTGTAGAAAATTCAAGTCCAAGTAGCTCAAAGATCTCAATGTAATACCAGATACAGTGAACCTGATAGAAAAGAAAGTGGGGAATAGCCTTGAACACTTCAGCACAGGAGATAGCTTCCAGAACAAAACATCAATAGTGTAGGTACTAAGATCAGCAATAAAGGGGACCTCATGAAACTGAAAAGCTTCTGTAAGGCAAAGAACACAAAAGTAGAACAAAATGGCAGCCTACATAATGAGAAAAGATTTCACCAACTCCACATCTGATAGAGGGCTGGTATCCAAAATGTATAAAGAACTAAAGAAAGTAGACATCAACAAGCCAAATAATCCAATTAAAAAATAAGATACAGATTGAAACAGAATTCTTAGTAGAGGAATCTCAAATGGCTAAGAGACAAATGTTCAACATCCTTAGCCATCAGAGAAATGCAAATCAAAACTACTTTGAGATTCCATCTTACACTGGTCAGAATGACTCAGGATGAGGGTTAGGATGTGGAGCAAGGGGAACAGTCCTCCGTTGCTGGTAGGAGTGCACACTTGTACAACCACTGTGGAAATCAATATGGCTTTTCCTCAGAAATGGGGAATCGATCTACTTTAAGATCCAGGTATACCATTCTTGAGCATATACCCAAAGGACACTCCCATCCTCCTATAAAGGCACTTGCTCAACTGTGTTTGTATTGATTTTCATAATAGCCAGAAACTGGAAACAACCTAGATGTCCCTCAACTAAAGAATGGATGAAGAAAATGTGGTACATTTACACAATGGAGTATGACTCACTTGTTTAAAAAAAAAAAGAATGACATCATGAAATTTTCAGGAAAATGGATGGAACTAGAAAAAAATCATCCTGAGTGAGGTAACTCAGACCCAGGAAGACAAACATGATATGTACTTGTCAGGGTCCAACCCTGGCCTGTCGAAGGGTCCTTGAAGCGGGGAAGTGAGGAATTGAGAAATGCTAGGTAGGAGAAAATATAGACGTAGATGAAGAAAAAGATAAAGGCACAGGATAGCTTTGGGTGGGGAGCTGGGTCAATACCCAGTCACCTCAAGTTTATTTCTAGTGGACTTTTTATATACCAGCAAAGAGAGTGGCAAAAGATTTCCCCCTTTCAAGATCAAGGTATAAAGTACAAACAAGTATAGACCCTTTCTTAATTCTCTAAACACCTTATGGCAAAGCATCTTGTAATTAGGCCTTGAAGCATAAGACACCTGGTAACCATGCCTTTGGCCAAAACATCCTATTATGCAGCCTTGGAGAGCAATATAAACTTTGACTCTCTGACCTTGAGTCAAAATAGAAACAAACCACAAGTTGGAATCTTTGTGGGCCCCCACATGTACTCATTTATAAGTGAATAGTAGCTGTTAAGTAAATCATAATCATGATACAACCCACAGACTCAGAATGGCTAAGTAACAAGGAGGGCTCTAAGGGGTGTATATGGATCCCCCTAGGAAGGGGAGATAGAAAAATTTTGCAGGTGGACTGTGGACAGGTAGGAATGGGAACAGGAGGGATCAAGTAGTTGCGGGAGGGATGGAGGGAAAGAGTACAAGAAGAGAGTTCTAGAATTGGAGGGCATTTGAGGGGGGTGGGTATGGAAACCTAGTGCAGTAGAAACCAGCCCAGCCTGCAAGATGTACAGTAACAAGGAGATGCAGAACTTGTGGGAACAGCCAGCTAATGACTGGTCTAATTTGAGGTCCACAAAAGGGAGCACTGCCTGGATGACCAGGAACTGGAAGCTGGGCAACCTAGGGTAGGAGAAAAAAAATCAATAAAATGATTCCTAATGATATTCTGCTATACACATATTTTGGTGCCTAGCCCAGTCATTAGCAGAGAGACTTCCTCCAGTAGCTGATGGGAGCAGATGCAGAGACCCATAGCCAAACATTAGGCTGAGAGAGCCTAAATTGGAGATTTCCATCTGGTCCCATCCCTTGGAGCTAGGGCAAGCCTGTGGAAGAGGGAGAGGAAGAATTGTAGGAGCCAGAAGGTCAAGGACACTAGGAGAACAGGCCCACAAAATCAACTAAGCAGGGCTCATAGGGGCTCACGGAGACTGAAGAAACAATCATGGAGCCTGCATGGGTCTGCATTGCATCTTCTGCAAACATGATTGTTAGCTTTGTTTTTGGTGGGACTCCTCACAGTGGGATTGTCTCTGTCTCTTTAGCCTACCCCGGGACCCTTTTCCTCCTATTGGGTTGCCTTGCTCAGCCCTGATACAAGGGTTTGTGCCTAGTCTTAATATAACTTGTGCTGTGTTCAGAGAAGGAGTGGATCGAGGGAAGGTGGGGGAGGTGGTACTGGTAGGAATGGAGGGAGGGGAAATTGAGGTCGAGATGTATTATATGAGAGAAGAATAGAAGCAAAGAGGGAAAAAAAGAGAGAAAGAAATTTGTCTTTTTCAGCCATGGGAAAATACTCTCCACAGAAAATATAATCTGCAAATGGAGAACTATCTAAAGTAGAAGTGACATCTAGACTTTCTTGCAGAAAAGGTATATCCAAGCCTGGAGATGTATCTCAGTTAGGTATAGTGCTTGCATAGCATTCATAAGGCCCTGCTTTCTGTTTCCAGTACCATATACAACTGGGCAGAGTGTTGTACACAGTCTCAGCACTCGGGAGGTAGAAATAGAAGGATTCGAAGTTCTAAATCATCTTCAGTTATAAAGTGAGTCTGAGCCCAGCCTGAACCTCATGAGACCTTGTCTCAAAGGTGCCCCTCCCCCCAAAAAAAAGGAAAGGAAAAAAAAGAAAGTAGCTCCAGAATATATTCCTTACTGTCTTTATAATAAACCCCTAATCCTACTCTAATTTGCTGTTGTGCTCCTGGTTTTGTGCTACAATTTTTGTGATTTGTACCTCAGCAAAGCTGAAAATCAAAACAAAAACAAAATAACTGTAAAGAATAAGTACTGAAGTAAGCTTTTTTTGATTGGGTTTTTTTGTTTGTTTGGTTGGGTTTGGTTTTTTTTTTGTCGTTTTGTTTTTTGGGGTTTTTGTTTGTTTGGTTGGTTTTCAGTTTTTCAAGACAGGGTTTCTCTTAGTAGCTTTGGAGCCTGTCCTAGAACTTGTTGTGTAGACCAGGCTGGCCTTGAAATCACAGAGATCTGCCGGGCTCTACCTCCCAAGTACTGGGATTAAATGCTTGTGCCACTGGCAATGTAAGTAAGCTATTTTTAAGCATGTATATATATATTCCATTAGTGACACTATTGTAAATTATTAAGAAATGCCTTATTTAATCCCAATTGAAATAAGTATATTATTTCTATCTTCCCTTTATGGGGAAGGAAACTGATACACTCTAAGGCTTGTGTATTGTTTTTAAGTATCCTTGTCATTGTTGCTGTGAAGAGTCACCATGAACAAGGCAGCTTTTAGAAAGTATACCGTTTCAGATGGTTAGTCAATGGTCAGCATGGCAGGAAGCATGGCAGCAGGCAAGCTTGACACTGAGAGCTTGCTTCCTGATCTTCAGAGAGAGAGCACAAGCACAGACCTCAAAGCCTACCCCTAATGGCACACCTCATCCAACAGTGCCGTGCCTCCTAATCCTTCCTAAATGGACCTCCGGCTGTGAACCAAACATTCAGATATATGAATCTGTGGGGGTGTTCTCATTCAGACCATCACAGGAAGCAATGACCTTCAGGTGTATTTTGGTCAGTAATTCTGGTGGCCTTACAGACAAGGAAATAGAAAGAAGGAGAAAACAGAAGGAGCAATTAAAGGAAGGCAAGGGAAGAAAGTCTAGTAAAAGTTTCACATACCTTCCCAGAGACCTCAGGAAAGCACTCTGCCAGTCTTAAGAGCTACCATTGGCATTATTTATTTATTAATCACCTTGCCTACAAAAAAAAATTATTAGATAGAATTAGATATGCTAGTATCCAATCATAGCTTTTGAAACCTATTACACATAGCTCATGTCTAAGGTGGTTTGTATTGAAATCTCCCTAGTTGTCTTAATCAAATAACCCTTATGTAGCCTTAAGAATCTCATTCTAAGCCAGGAGGCAGGGTGCACGCCTTTAATCCCAGCACTCGGGAGGCAGAGCCAGGTGGATCTCTGTGAGTTCAAGGCCAGCCTGGTCTACAGAACAAGATCTAGGACAGGTACCAAAACAACATAGAGAAACCCTGTCTTGAAACCCCCCCCCCAAAAAAAAAAATCTCATTCTATTTTTTGAGGGGCCACTGACAGGCTCATAGTGTAGAAAGTAGAGAGGCCTCAACACTCCTTTTGAGAAGGAGTATAGGAGTGTAGTTCCTTTTTTAATTACTGGTTTTTAGAAATTAATGTAAAATTTTCATGTGAATGTATGTGTGCTTGTGGGTTCGTGTGTACCACATACATGCAATGGCTTGCATAGACTAGAAGAGGGCATTGACTTCCAGATCAAAGCTGGAATGGCTACCCACTACAGATTTCCAGAGCTGCCACATGGGTGCTGGGAATTGAACTCTGGTCTTCTGCAAGGGCAGTACATGTTTTTTTTTACTGCTGAGCCAATTCCCCCAGCCTCTTGCAGTTCCTTTTTAAAATATATATTGGTGGAATGGTTTCAGAGAAAAAAATAACTATAAGATACTTGGTCTAATTGTAGTAAAAATAAAAATGGAAGCTGGTGAGAAAAAGTACTGCTTTTGTAGTGGTTGCCCTAGGTCTGATTCCCAGCACCCACATTGGGTGGCTTACAATTGTCTGTAATTCCAGGAGCAGGGAGTTCTAATACCTCTGGCCTTATGCACTCATCATACTGCCGCGCCCCCCCCCCCCCCACAGGCTTACATTGTAGTGGGTAGCCATTTCACATACAAAGAATTAAAAGTAAAAATCTTTGAAAGTCATAACTATTAGCTTTGAAAGAGAACTTGAGTGGCTTCCAAAATCATCACAGATAGTAACAAAAATATCTGTGAAATTTTCTAACTGGTTGTTGTTTGAAGTATAATTTAGATTTTGAGATGTTTAAGCTTTATTAACTAGTGATATTACTGATCATGAGAGCTTAAGTAAGGCATTCATCCTCAAAATCCTTATTTTTATTTTGTTTGGAAAATAATAGATAAATAAATAACTAGACTTGCAATTAGAAGCACTGTGTAATAACTAGATAGTTGAGTTTCTTTGTTATATTGTTTCAGGTTTATTCCAGGATGCAGATCCATGCAGTGATCATAACTGTCATGTTAAGCCAGGTGCTACTGTAAACACTCTTGTGCCAGAAGGAAAAATTCTTTTTCCACAAATTATCCCAACAAATGAACTTTTGTTTTATGAGAGATTCAGAGCCTATCAAGATTACATTTTAGGTGAGTAAGTTCTTGTCTTTTTATAGATCTATTTTGTAAGTAGATTGTCCTCAGATTGTCAGTTGTTCTGAGAAAATGGATTCAGGTGAATTTATTAACTTCTCGTTTATACATTTCCAATTCTTATTTCATTTGTAGCTGACTGTAAGGCCTCTGAGGTAAAGGAATTCACAGTCAGCTTCTTGGAAAAGGTCCTTAAACCATCTGGATGGTGGGCAGTCTGGCACACTAACGTGTTTGAGGTGCTCGTTGAAGTAAGTTGAGTTCTCTTATGAAGACATTTTGCCAACCTTTCCTGTGTGTTTCTGATTGTGTTCTCCAGGTCCTGAATTGAATTAATGTGTTTGTTTTCAATCCTCCTTGGAATCATTGATCATTTTTAAGGTTATATGTGATGGTTTTCATAATACATGGCATCCTCATACATGTGTGATGTACTTTGTTCTCATTTGTTTCCTCCCCACAAATCTCCTCCCTCCCCCAAGTTAGTTCCAGCTTCTGCTTTCTTATCACATGTATTCCTTTACCCGTTCCATTTTATACCCTGTTAAGATCTTTTCCTCCCTTTTCATGATCTCTTTTCTTGTTTCTTTCTTAAAAATTCATGTATTTTTATATTCATTTATTCAGTGTGTGTGTGTGTGTGTGTACGCATGTATACATGTGGAAGTCAGAGCACAGCTTGTGGTAATCAGTTCTCTCCTTGTAGATTCAGGGTATCAAACTCAGGTAGTCAGGCTTGGCAGCAAGCACCATTATCTGCTGAGCCTGGACAGTCTCTCTAGATACTCAACCACAAATGTATAAATATACACCTGTACTAGTGAACTTTTGACATCTTCATCTGACATTTTACATATTTCAGTGTCTCAGTTTAGCAATTTAAAAGTTGTGTTATTTTGAAGGCATCCTGTTACCTTTTTTCCAATTGTTTGTATATTTTGTGATGAAATTTACATATCTGTTGGTTTAGATAAGTATTCTGGTTTTACTTGAAGATCTTACATGGACAGCTTCCTCTTGAGGTTTTAGTTTCCATTGCCACTCATTGAGGAGAACACAGTTATGATAGCTCAACACTGAACTCTAGAAGATACAGAAATACACTTTAAATTGATTAAAACTCACTAATACATCACTGATGACCATAAGCAGAAAATGGGAAAACTCATGTAGAATATGCTTTGAAGTTAAAAATTATTTAGGATAAATGTGTATATAGTAAGTAAATGAGGTTAAAAAAAAAATGAATGAGAAAGTTCAAAATTACCTAAATACATGAAGAAGAATAAAAATTAAAATTTATTTTTTTAAAACAAAAACAATAAATACTACTAAAACAATAGTACAGAAAAAAATGGGTGGAGGGGAAATAAGAGCCAAAAAAGGGGGAAAAAGATAACTCACTAATAAAAAAGTTCACAAACATAATAAGCTGAATGTCAGAAAGGAAGTAATAAAACCATTTTAAAAAATACACTGAAATAAAAATGCAGCTGATATTGTACTAAAGACAAAAAGCTGAGGGACAGCAAAATATAAAGGGCAATAATAATAGTAATGTTAAAATGTTGGAGCAACTTCTTTCTAGGTCCTTGAAAATTGGAAACTGTCACATACATCAGGTGGGAGAGGTGGAAAGTCACTGGACTTGTGAACCCTTTATCTTCCTGTGGCTTATGCTGGTGTTGAACCTGTATTGGACAAGTGTCTGATGTCCACCAGAGCTGTCTTTATTTTAGGAGTTTACCTTTGTGTTCCCAGTGGGTTCTGCAGATTCTGTCACCCCTCCTGATGTTTCCCAGTTTATACCCATGAGTGGCTCATGCTCTACTTAGAGTTATCTCTCAAATGCATCGAGAATATAAGAAACAGCTGCTGCACTGAACTCTTGTATAGGTCTAGTCTGTTGGTTGTTTTTTTATTCTTTGTCTCTTTGGGGGCCCGCCACCCAGCTCCCAAATAAATCACACACAGAGGCTTATTCTTAATTATAAATGCCCAGCCTTAGCTTGGCTTGTTTCTGCCATCTTTCCTTAACTTAAATTATCCCATCTACCTTTTGCCTCTGGGCTTTTTCCTTTTCTTACTTCCGTATGTCTTACTTTTACTCTTATTCTGTGGCTGGCTGTGTAGCTTGGTGGCTGGCCCCTGGAGTCCTCCTCCCTCTCTTGCTCCTAGTTCTCCCTCCTCTCAGATTTCTCCTTCCATATATTCTCTCTGCCTGCCAGCCCTGCTTATCCTTTCTCCTGACTTGCTATTGGCCGTTCAGTTCTTTATTAGACCATCAGGTGTTTTAGACAGGCAAAGTAATACAGCTTCACAGAGTTAAATAAATGCAACATAAACAAATGTAATACACCTTAAAATAATATTCTGCTCTAGTCTGTCTGTACATTAAAAATCTTTTAAATATGAATCACAGCCAGGCCATGATGACACACACCTTTAATCCGAGCACTCAGGAAGCAGAGATAGGCAGATCTCTGAGGTCGACGCCATCCTGATCTACAGAGAGAGTTCCAGGACAGCCAAGGCAGTAACACAGAGAAACCCTGTCTTGAAAACCAAAAGTAAATAAATAAAAATATGAGTCATTTTGCTGAAGGGATGGAGTTTCAGTTTTAAGTAGACTACTGGAACATCCAAGTTTTGTAGCTTACAGCAGTGAATGGCAGACATGTGACTCTAGAGGTTGATTGCCCTGTTGAGTTCAGGCTTAAGGCAGTGGAACTCCAGGGTTATTCTCAGTTGATGACTTCTGCTCTTGGCAGCTGAGTGGGGCTACTTTTCTCTGTGTACTTCCCTGCTGGTCAGAGCCTCCTGCTGCCAGCACTTTGCTGTTTTTCAGCATCTACTCTCTGCAACTGGCACCCAGAGCTGTCTATCATCTGGGGTTGTGGCAGGTTAAATTCAGGCTTCCTCTATTGTTCCTCATACTGAGGCCCCCAAATTTTAGCTCAGTTTCAAATAAGTAACATGGTGCCTGGCCTCTGCCCTCCAAGTCATACAGAGTAACAGTAAAATTCCAGAAGAAGCACAGCCTCACCAAAACTCACAGCCGGTTTTGGAGCTTGTGAAGGCTGTTGGCTTGTTTTGAGGTAGGACTCTCAGTCTCTTACTGGCACCCACCTTGCTTACCTTTTGGAGGAGGCTTCTGTTTTCTCTCCTGCTGCTAAGGAACTTGAGTTCCTATCTCTTTCTCAGTACTTTTTGGCTTTCCTATCACTGCTTTTTTAATTTATAGCTCTGTTCCTCTTTCTCTTTGAGATATTCTGGTTTTTAAAATTCTGAGAATTTCTTTACTGTGTCTCACAGAAACAGTTTATTTTCTGCCATCTTACCCAGAAGTCCTCTGGTTTATTTTTCCCCGTGATTGTAGGCTGAGGACAAGAGTTAGTTCTGTTTTGTTTATTCTTAAAAGGCATTCTGACCTATTTCTAACTTTTAAAAACTAGGTTATAAATAGTATTTTATATATGTGTTTCAGTTTTAATTTCTGGGTATTAAAATGAGTAACATTATTTTGAATTTCAGGTTACAAACGTGGACTTTTCAGCCTTGAAGGCAATAGTGAGACTTGCAGAGCCATGTATTTATGAATTTAAATTGAGCACTTTTACCTTGGCAAATGTGAAGGAGCTTTTGGACCTGAAGGAGTTTCACCTGCCTCTGCAGGAGTTGTGGGTGGTGTCAGATGATTCACGCGAATTTCACGAGATGGCACTTGCCATTGAGCATGTCAGGTAGGAAGGTTTGTTGATAGAAGTAACCTTGTGGTCAAAACTGTAAATTAAGTGAAATAATCCTAGTCCTTTTCTTTCTGTCATGCTTAAACCTTAGTCCTTACAAATCCTAGGAAATGTCTTTACCATTGAACCACACATCCACACCCTAGGAAAATCTTTTAAAAATTAAAAACAAAAATCTTAATATCTTAAATTTTCACCTTGTTATCACTTCCAACCTATTGAAAATTTGAAAAAAATAGTACATGAAATTATTTTTTATCATTCGAATTCCTCAAATGTTGACAAAAATAAAGGATTCCTGATTTGGTTTTTATGAATTTAGAAACTGTTTTTTGTAGGGAGTATTTTTCTGTCCCACCAGCCAGCTCCCAAATAAATGACATGAAGACTTCTTATTAATTATTAAAGCTCAGCTGATAGCTTAAGCTTTTTTGTAATTAGCTCTTATAACTTAAATTTATCCATTTCTATTCATTTACATGCTGTCACATGGCTCATGGCTTGTTACCTCATCTCCTACATGTCTTACTTTCTCTATGGGTAGCTGGTGACTCTACCTATTCCTTCCCAGCATTCTCTCTGCCCCAAAAATCCTGCCTAGCTATTGGCCGTTTAACTTTTTATTAAACCAATCACAGTGGCTTATCTTCACACAGTGTAAAGGAATATTCCACAATCCTCTTTCAAGTCATGAATGCTAAGGCTTGTGGTTGGTACATTTTGAATGTAATAGAACAGAAAAAAAGGTGAAAGGTAAGAAAATAGATGTGGTATATTTTGGTATGTGAATATTTACTAAAGAAATTTTGCTTTTAACTGCTTAAAGTGAATATATATCATGAATATCTTAAATTGGACACTAAAAGACAAAAATTGTATTAGTAATACATTTGTTTTCAAATTCTATATAATCTATGCAGTCATACTTGGTAGTAGATTTGTTCTTTGTTTTGTATTTGCCTCTTTAAGGTGGGGAATAAAAATACCACTCTCCTATGTCAATATAATAGGCCCTGGTGTATATACTCATTCTTTATTAGTAATCCTTATTTGTCTAATCAAATTGTCTTTCACAAATAAAATTCCAAAGAAACATACATCTGAAAAGATACTAAGAATGATAAAGTTAGATGCATATTCTTCTAGGAACTGTAAGATTAGGTAATATGATGTCAATCATATTGTTTGGTGTTTCATAGTCTAAAAGGTACTTTGTACTTTCTATACTTTTAGTGAGTTAAACTGATTTTACTGAGACTGCCCTAATACCCAGACTCACTATGCTCAGACTGACCTTATCAAAACAAGACCAAAAAAAAAGTGATAAGCACCCAGACTTATATATACATAACTGGAAATGGCAGTAAGTGCTAAATTAGAATTACTGTGTTGAGATGGCTGTTCCATGGTTGTTTCTTGGAGAAGTGGCATATAAACTTGAGTCTGGAAGGTTAACTAGGCAAGGAGGACAGGTGCAGGATGTCAGTGAGATTAAGATGTTGAAAGGCCAGCACATTCAGAACACAGTCAGTCCTAGGAGATGCCAGACTGGGTGTTTTTATAGGTCAGAAGGTTATGTATATAAGGTCAGTCAGTTATGAGTGCATGCACTAGAGTGGGGACTTGATAGGACAGGATAGAAACTGAGAAGTAGAGCAGTTGGGATGTGAGCATCTAGGAAGGGTGATATGTGAGCCCTGTGGGAGGCTGAGCCCCATTCTGAGTTCTGCTTTGAAAGAGTAAGCTCTGGAAGAGATGCATAGTGAATGATATATAAGTATCTGTACTGTATTGGTATGAATAATACTTGAGCTAGATATGGAATTTAAATATATTTACCAGGTGGAGAAAGTGGAAGGCATTTGACCAACATACTACAAGGGAATTTGAAAGAGTATGTGAAATTGGGAGTTTGTGTGTGTAAGTGATTTAAAGTTTGTATGCTTTAAAAGCAGAAGTGCTTTAAAGATACATGATAAAAATGAGCGAATACTATGTCTGCGATTTGTTTAGAAATAATCCAGTATGAACATATAGGAGATAAGAGGGATAAGTGAATTGGGTTGCTGAGAGCTGCTGGTAGCAATGGCTTTACCAGAGGCCACAAGAACATACAGCAGATGGCAATTGATAGTTCAGGTGTCAACCCACCAGATGAATAATTCTCTGATGGAGGAATCTTGTTTAACAAGGCTTACGGGACCACAGACTCTGGACTGGTTGCTTCTGTCTGTAATTTTCTCATGTGTCTCTGCATTTCTTCCCTACAAACAGCTGTGGGTATTTTCCCCACTGCTTGTGTGTTTATCTCATGAATATATTTCATCTACTGGGCACACATATCTGGATGGTCAGAAAGATGATTTCTGCTTAAGCTATATAATTTTGATGAATAGAAATAATATTAGGATATTTTTCAAAGCTCAGACTGACATAGTAAAATTACAATATTCTTAGTTATAAAGACAGCTTTTTACACATTTAGCTGATTTCAGACTTCAGAGCAGATTCAAAATAGATTAGTTGCCCCTGCAAAATAATTCATAAGGGCAGATTCCCAGGTGTCTGTTGAACCAAAGTCAGGCCGATAACATTAAGACATAACTCCCTGCAGATGTTGACTTTCTGCACATACTCCTGGCCTCAATTTGTGATGTAGGACTCAAGGTCCAGCCAACTAAGTGTTTATTAAGTCCTGAATTTCAGTGTTACTCTCTGTCTGGGAATCATGTCAGCATGGCCTCCCTAGCCTGAGAGAAACTATGTGCTTAGTGTTCTTAGAATAGGTTGGACCCCCGTGTATGTAGCTCATTATTGTCCAGAGTTTGGCAGTTGAAGGAGGTGTGTGTAGAAAGAGCTATGTAAAGAGCTGATTAGAGCTGTGTAAACAGCTGTGTAGCTATGTAGAGAGCTGTAAAGAGCTGTGTAGAACTATGTATAGAAGATGAGTAGCTGTGTAGAGAGATGGAGCAGCACCTATGTAAAGATGTGTGTGCCGGGCGGTGGTGGCGCACACTTTTAATCCCAGCACTTGGGAGGCAGAGCCAGGAGGATCTTTGTGAGTTTGAAGCCAGCCTGGTCTACAGAGCGAGATACAGGACAGGCACCAAAACTACACAGAGAAACCCTGTCTCGGGGGGAAAAAAAAGTGTATAAGAAGAGATATGTAGAAGAGAGGTATGTGGAGATGTAGCTGTTGAGGAAAGATGTATGGATAGAAGAGAGAGCTATGTAGATGAAATGTATAGCTATGTAGAAGAGGTGTATGGAAAATGAAGTTGTGTGGAGACAGATTTTCAGAAATATTTTTTAAGATGAAGTAAAAGAGAAAAGTTACCATCATAAAGCATGTGTTTCTTTATTACCTGTCAGATAGAAAAAGTCTAGCCCTTGCTGCATTCATGGCTTTTTTTTTTTTTTTTTTTTTTTTGCAAGCCCTGGTGCTGCCTGGAGGCTGGCCCCCTAGGCAGCGTTTTGGGGAAAAAAATTACCTGTGAATTGATAATTTTTGAAGCTGCTATTCATATTGTCTGTTTTCTTTTATCATATATGTTTGGAATTTTTTCATATGTTGAAGCATCTGGAGAGTTTTAAAGAAAATATGAAGCAATTTAGTGAAGAAAGGGTTTCTTTTAGCTTACTGCTCCAAAGAGGGACATAGACCATCATAGTTAGGACGGTAGCAGCAGTGTAATACCATCTCCAAATCTTGTATAGGCAGGATGGAACCAGAGAAATAACTGCAGGTACAGCCATGCTAAAACCTTTAAGCCTCCTGCCTAGTATTTCTTTCAGCAAGACTCCATCCCCTAAACGTTTCCAAACATTGCCACCTGCTGGAGACCAAGTGTTCACCCACATGAGCTTACGGTAGGCTTCCCTTATTCAAACCACAATACCGGCCTTTTGAACCAGCAGTTGAATCTGATTGATATTAAGCTTCTTTTCAGGTTTTTCTATAAAAACATTTGGAGGAGTTGGGATGAAGAAGAAGAAGATGAGTATGATTATTTTATCAGATGTGTTGAACCTCGACTGAGATTGTAAGTATTTATTACTTACTGATGTGGTAGAGACACACACAGGAGCTTCTGATGTACAGATAGTACAGATAGTGCATCATGACAAGTTATTGAATAAACCTTGTGGGGGGAAAAACAGACACCTGCATTGTGTGTGTGTGTGTGTGTGTGTGTGTGTGTGTGTGTGTGTGTGTGTACGTACTTGTATACTTGTATTCTGTTTTGTTTTGAGATAGAATCTCTATAGCTCCGCCTCCCCCGCCCCGGTCTCACTAGTATTGCAATAATAGGCTTGTGCCACCATGCCTGGTTCTATTTATGAAGTAAATTTAAAAGTAGAGTTTTGCCGGGCGGTGGTGGCTCACGCCTTTAATCCCAGCACTCGGGAGGCAGAGGCAGGTGGATCTCTGTGAGTTCGAGGCCAGCCTGGACTGCCAAGTGAGTTCCAGGAAAGGCGCAAAGCTACACAGAGAAACCCTGTCTCCAAAAACCAAAAAAAAAAAAAAGTAGAGTTTTAAGAATATCTAGGTTAAAAGCTTGTAAATCTGAAATATTGGGAGCCAGGCCAACCCCAGGCTTCCTCAGAGGCCCCAATGAAAAGAAAAAGGGAACGGAGAACTCTAGTTCTGTGTCCTTACCCAGGGTATAAACTTGGCAAGATCCCAGTGTAGGGCTGATGCCAGGGCCTTGAAGGAGTTACGGTTTTGGCCCCTGGGAACCTGGATTTCTCCTCTGAATGGATGTAGCTGGGGTAGCTGTGTCTGAGGAATCCTGTTTTCTTTGCCAACATCATCCGATTTAGCTCTCTGCTGATCTTTGGCCATTTCGTTCCTTGCAAACCGTATATAAGATGCTCTACTTTTTAATAAACTTGCTTTGGATAAGTCATCAACTTATGAAAGACTTCCTGATCCCAACAATCTGTCTACTGTAGTTCTCATTCCTCCCCCTCCTCCTAGACACCTAGCCATTAGGGACTCTTATTTCTGTGTGTTCAATTCACTGAATAATATTCAACTGAGCTTGTACGTTAAGAATCTTGAATATTGTTAAGAGACTGAATATTTTCTAAATTTGGTTTGGTTACTCTTAAACAGCAATAGTTAATTTTTATAGGTGTGAAATTTAATTATAGGTAAATATCATATGTATCTGGTATATTTGATCTTTACCTGGAGAAAAAATATGTTCTGATTTGACAGTCTTCTATATGCTAACAATGATTAATTAATATGGTATCATACATTTCACTGGCAAATGTGAGAACCTAAGGGAGATTATTTTTTGTTGTTGTTGTTATGGAGAAGAAAGGAAAATGGTATGATAGAAATGTTGGCAGATGGGAAAAGTTCCCTGTGCTGATAGAAGAGCTGTCAACAGGCAACATTTAAAAGTGATCAAACCATATTGTTTTGATTTTATATTATGTGTATTTTTCCTTTCTAATTCAGAACACACTATAACAAAATGTAGGAGGCAGAAATATGACTGTTGGTGTATTATTTTCAAACTTTGAAGTTTCAGTATAAAAAAATGCTAATTAACATGGTTGCAGAAATGTTAAGAGACTGCTTTTAAAATTGAGTCTGGTCTTCACAGCTTGACCTGATGCATCTGTCAATGATGGTCCCTGTTTTCTTGTTTGGAAAGTGGACTTGCAGATTATCTTTAGCTGCATATGGGTTAACTAAAGCACCAAATCCACACTTTCTAGTGTCTCCTAATATTTGAAAAGCCTGAAAATTTATTTTCTTTAAAATGTTAAGTATTAGCTGTAGTTTGATATGTTTGCTTAGGTTATGTTTTTCTTCTCCCATCTTATTCAGAGCATTACTAATTTAAAACAGCAAAACTTCTACAAAACAAAACATTTAAGGCATTATTTCTCAACATTCACTAGGTATTAGTTTCTGTAGAGAACTTTAGAAAGTACATCTATGTTTAAGAGATCTATTTAATTGGTCTGATTGGGAGTCTGGCATTTACATTTTTAGATGCTACCCGTGAGTATAATATTAAAAAGCTCTTGTCTGAGTCATAACTAGTTAAATTGAGAAATAAAATGATTATTTAAAAATTATATATAATTATATATGAGAGTAATATTGTACTTAAGTTCCATATTGATCTTTTTTTTTCATTAATTTTTACCCATTAGCTTAGTCATGTCATTTTACTGCATGCATTTTTTAAGATTATTTATTATGTATACTGTGTTCTGTCTGCATGCATACCTGCACTCCAGAAGAGAGCATCAGATCTCATTATAGATGGTTGCTAGCTGCCATGCGGTTGTTGGGAATTGAACTCAGGAAGAACCACCTCTCTGAGTCATCTCTCTAGCCCCTGCATGCCTTTTTCATCTAACTCTTTCCTTTGGTTAGTTGAGCCAGAGGTAACTAACCAAAGGAAAGATAGAAGGTCTATCTTGTTTACCTTCCCAAAGAACCAATTCTTGATTCATTTATTTTTTTGTAGTGTTTTCTTTTTTTCTATATCATTAATTGTTGCTTTAATTTTTGTTACTTCTTTTTCTAATTTCTTGAAGTGCATTGTTAAGTCATTTATTTGTACTCTCCCTGGTTTTTTTTAATGTAGGTCCTTAGGGCTACGAACTTCACTCGTAGAACTGCTTATAATGTGTCTCAGAGGTTTTGTTGTTTCTCTTTTGTTTTTATTTAGTTTTAGGAATAATTTGATTTATTTGACCCACTTGCCATTAAGTAATAAGTTGTTTAACTTCTATGAGTTTATACACTAGTTTGCTAGAGTCTTGTGTCAATTTTATATTTAAATATTCAGATAGGCTACAAGGGATTTTTTAAAAATTTTTTCTGTATTTGTTAAGGTTTGTTATTTCTGTGTATGAATTCTTTTAGGCCATTTGGAATCATGGAATGTTTTTGTTTTGTTTTAATCATTCAACTATGTCAGATTTTTTTTCTGGGTACAGTAGTCTTGAGTTGGCAGTTGTAGTCTTTTATAACTTAGAGTGTATTGTTCTTGACTCTTATGGCTTTCAGAGATTCCATTGATAAATCAGGTGTTATTCTAGTGGAGTTTCCTTTATATATAACTTGTATCTTCTTTCTTCTAGCTTTTAATATTTTTTCTTTGTCTTATATAGTGTTTTGACTATGATATGATGTGGAGTGTTTAATTTTCTGGTTTTGAGTAGTTGGTGTTCTTTGAGTATGTCTTTCCTTAGCTTGGGAAAGTTTTCTTCTATGATGTTGTTAAAGATCTGGTCCATGACATTGCCTCCTAATTCTCGGTCTTCTAGCCTATAATTCCAAGATTTAATGGTATCCCACATTTCTTGTTTTTTCCTATCCTTTGACTAAAATAATAATTTCTTAGCTTATTTTTTTTCTAGAACCTCTGCTGTATCTTGCTGTTCTATTTTCTGTTTGATTCATTTTACTTGTAAGGCTTTGCTCTGAGTTCTCTAATTGGAATACTGAGTTTTTCCATTCCATCCTCATTTTGACTTGTATTCTTTTAAATGTTTCTATCTCTTTATTGAATTAAGTTTTCAAATCTCAAATTATCTTCATTCAGCTGTGTATTTTTTCTTGTACATTACTCAAGTATTTATTATTTTCTTCTCAGAGATCAATGTTTGTATATTTAAATTTTTTGCATATTTTGTGATTATTTTTTTAAAGTCTGTGACCTGAGGTTCATCTAGGGCATTCTCATTAAAGAACACTTCTATAGGACTAAGTTTGATGGGAGGTATGCTATTTTATTTTGGCCTTTCATATTGTTTTGGTTTTTATGATTTGACCTGAGCATGTGGACTTCTTTCTTTGGCTGTGTGACTGGTGTGCAAACCTGCCCTTCTTTAGATTAGGCCAATGTAGGCCATGTGTCCCTAGAGCAAGGCCAGGTATAATAAGTAGATGATCTGTTGAATTGGACCAGGGAAAGATAGCTCCTAAACTACAGGTCTATAGCTAGTCCAAGAAAGGAGGTTTACAAATGTTGAAAGTTCATGAGCACAACTCTATAATTAGGATTACAGATTTGCAGATGGCGGGGTGGGGTGGGGTAAAGGCTAATTTAAGGCCAGGGAAAGGTAATAAGAGATTTACTCAGGAAAGGTGCCTTACTCACAGGCCAACAGATCAAGAACAAAGCTTGTAAGTTTACAGATGACTGATGGGTCGGGGCAAGAATAGAAAAGTAAGAAGTGACCCAGGAATGGTGGCTTGCAGACAAAGAGAGTGCTAAAAATGATGGTAAAATAAGCTGAGTCTTTGAGGACTAAATCAAATCTTAATGATAGGAAAATGTCCTAGAAAAGGGAATGGATTTTAATTTGCTTTTAAACTTTCAGGTATTATGATATACTTGAAGATCGAGTTCCCTCAGGACTTATTGTTGACTACCACAATCTGTTGTCTCAATGTGAAGAGAGTTACAGGAAATTTTTAAATCTGAGAAGCAGTTTGTCAAATTGTAATTCTGATTCTGAACAGGAAAATATCTCCATGGTGGAAGGGTTAAATTTGTATTCAGAAATTGAACAGTTGAAACAGAAGCTAAAACTCATCGAGAATCCTTTGTTGAGGTATGTGTCTTGTTGTTCTTAATTATTTAGCATATCTTACTAGCTATCTTAGTGAGAAGTGATGGTTCTTGTTTTCTTGTTTTGTTTTTGTTTGTTTGTTTTAAAGATATGTTTTTGGTTATCAGAAGAACTCTAATATCCAAGCCAAGGGCACTCGTCAAAATGGCCAGAAGGTCACCCATGTGGTTTCCTCCACCATGAAGACAGGTCTGCTGCGGTCTCTATTCAGGGACAGGTTTTGTGAGGAGTCTTGCAAAGAAGAAACAGAAATTCAGGTAAAAAGAAATTTTTGCTCTAAGTGACTGCTTTTGATTAACTCCAAATTTTCACCAATTCTACAAAGTGTTTACAGAAAGTTTCTGGAGTTGGTTTTCTGTGAGATCCAAATAGTAAGAGCACTGTTCTTTTTCAGTGATAGCAATGCAAAAGCACACACTGGGCTAAGTGCACTATTAGAAAGATAGATTAAAAACAAAGTTGGGTTCATTTTCAAATGGGACATGAAGGCCCTTGGAGTGATACCTAAGTGGCTTTGGGGATGTATATTTACAGTATGTTGTTTTTTAGTTCCATAGTGATCTGTTGTCTGCTATAAATGCCTGCCATGAGGGTGACACTGTTATTATTTGTCCTGGCCATTATGTGGTTCATGGCACCTGCTCCATAGCTGACTCCATTGAGTTAGAAGGTGAGTATGAAAGATCATAACCAAACTTTCATTCATAAGTAAACAGTAAATTAGTGATCTTGATTAACTCCAAAATTCAACCCATCTGATTTCAAGTGAGGTGCTTTGACACATTAATGTTTTTTGGTGTTTTGGTTTTTTTTTTTGTTTTGTTTTGTTTTGTTTTGTTTTTTTTGATTTTTCAAGACAGGGTTTCTCCATGTAGTTTTGGTGCCTGTCCTGAATCTCGCTCTGTAGACCAGGCTGGCCTCAAACTCAGAGATCCACCTGGCTCTGCCTCCCGAGTGCTGGGATTAAAGGTGTGTGCCACCACCACCCGGCTCACATTAAGGATATTTAAATTGTATAAGAAATTGACCCAGTGTTTGAACAGTTTGAATCATAAGTGTTTGTAGCAGTATATTGATAAGATTTTTATAGATGCACATTAAAAACAAAGGCTATTAGTAACAAGTATAGGTTCTAGAAGATTGGTAGTTTATAGAAAGGAAGTCTATTTCTAGAACAGAAGTGTGTGTGTGTGTGTGTGTGTGTGTGTGTGTGTGTGTGTGTGTGTGTGTGTGTGTGAATTTGTTAATTACCTTACAAAGTAGCAGGTTTCCTTATGACGTTTTCGTATGTTTAGTTTTAGTTTAACCTCACCACAACTTCTGCCTGTCACTGCCTCCTTGCTTCCCTGCTTTAACCCTTTGATTCCCAGTATTCCCTTTCTACTTTCATATCTATTATTTCTTGCACCCCTCCCTTCATGACATATACTATATCCCCTCTCATCTAATACAAATACATTAAAAATTAGAAGCTAAGATACACATACAAGAGAGAAAATGAGATGTTTGTCTTTCTGAATCTGGATTACCTCACTTAATATTTTCTGCTTCCATTACCTGTGAACTTTATAATTTCCTATCTTCTTTTTTAGAACTGAATTTATATATGTACCACAATATGAGTATTGTGTATATATACCACAATATCATTATCAGTTGATGGATATCTAGTCTCTTTTTTTTTTTAATGGAACAGCAATAAATATGGATAAACAAGTATCTCTTTAGTAGGTTTGAAGAGTTCTCTGAGTGTATGTCCAGGAGTGGTGTAGCAGGGTCATATGTTAGTTCTATTTTTAGTATTTTGAGAAATTTCCACACTGATTTCCATAGTCCATATTACATTCCCACTAACAGTGAATAAGAATTTATCTTTCTCCACATCTTCACCAACATTTGTTGGCATTCATTTTCTTTTTTTCTTTTTTTTTTTTTTTTGGTGGGGGGGTTGGTTTTTTGTTTTGTTTTTGTTTTTCAATACAGGGTTTCTCTGTGTGACAGTCCTGGCTGTCCTGGAACTCACTCTGCAGACCAGGCTGAGATCCGCCTGCCTCTGCCTCCTGAGTGCTGAGATTAAAGGTGTGCGCCACCACTGCCCAGCGTCATTCATTGTCTTAATGATGATTGTTCTATGGTGAGATGAAATCTCAGGGTTGCTTTAATTTGCATTTCCCTAATGACTAAAATGTTAAATACTTTAAAGATGTTCATTGGCCATTCGCACCTCTTCTTTGGACATTCTCTATTCAATTGCATGGCCTGCTTTTCATTGGGTTGCTTGTTTTGTTTTAGTATTTTGAGGGGTTTTTTTTAATATCCTATATATTAACCATCTTTTGAATATATAGCTGGAAAATATTTTCTCCCGTTCTGAAGAGTACATTTTCCCTCCATTAACAAGACCTTTGCTGTATGGAAGCTTCTTAATTTTATGAGGGCAGTTATTGTTTATTAGTCTTGAATACCAGCTATGTAATCTATCTAAAGGAGTAGGCCCCATATCCATTCACACAGCAGTTAGCTATTACCAAGATAGTCATGCTACCATTGTATCAGTGAGCATATTCTGTCTGGCAGGTGTGTGTTACCACATGCATGTTCCACAGTTGGGTGAGACTGTTGTTAAGATTTTTCCCTTAGCAGCCTGGATAGCACCTCCTGGTACTGTGAACACTAGCCAGCAGAGAGGGAGTTCTGCGTAGTTGTATATCGTTTTCTCTGTGTCCTATAGCAAAAGTATGTTACCCTCACGTTCTGGTGGGTGACTGAGAGCAATGATAATAGCCTGTGTTGTTTTTGGGACTTCTGAGACGTTTCTGGTCAACAAGTCACAAAACAGTATGGTACTGGGCTCTTGTTTAAAAGCTTATGACTTCTTTTTTCTCCCCCTGGAGCTGAGGACCAAACCAGGGCCTTGTGCTTGCTAGGCAAGCGCTCTACCACTGAGCTAAATCCCCAACCCCAAAGCTTATGACTTCTTTGAGCACCATTATCCATACATGAAGAGTACTTCCATTTCAAGCTTTTTTTTAGTTTAAATTCTTTAGCTTTTTTTTTTACTTTATAAAGTACTGTTTCTATATAGCTTTTCCTGTCTTCCCAGCACCCCATATCCCTGACCAAACCTAGCTCCCCCACTTTTATGTCCCTGTGTTTTACTACCTCTTTCCTCAGAGTTTGTCAGCCCATGGCATCTTTCTTGGCACTATAGAGAATTAAATTTTAATTTAAAAAAATTTTGAAGCTATGTATACAAGAAAGAAAATATGGGTTTTCCTTTCTGGGCCTAGGTTACTCAGTGTAATACTTTCCAGTTCTGTAGCACGAATCCTAATTGGTCTTAATAATAAAAACCTGGAGCCAAATATCAAGGTAAATACTGAAAGACCAGTAAAGGAACCAACCACTAGACTTCTTATCTCTACCGAATCCTCAACCTGAAAAGGCTGAGCTCCTGTCTCTAACCCACCTTATCACTTCCTCTCTCCGCCCAGCCATATCACTTCCTGTTTCCTCTTCTCAAGTGCTGGGATTAAAGGTGTGTGCCACGACTGCTTGTCCTTTAGTGGCTAGCTATGCACTCTGATCTCCAGGAAAGCTTTATTTGTGTATACACAAACAAAATATCACCACATTTCCCCTTTTTTGTCTAAAATAAAAAAAGGTGATAACTAATACAAGAAAAATTATATACAATAAGTATAATGACTGTATACAGTATATACAGTCAATAAATACAGCAACACTATCTAGTCTATAAACAATTGACAAATGCACAGAAAAATACTCCATATCTATCCTGTCTTGATGAGTCCAGAATTCACAATGTAGATGTAACCGTCTTATTAAATAAGAAACACAGAGCCAATACAGAGATGAAAGCCAAGAGGTCAGAGCAATAGCTAAGAGCTAAAAATCTTACCCTTCACTGTTGCTGTTGTCCTACCTCTTCGAAAGAGAGCTACTTCCTGTGTGCCTGTCTTTTTAATAGTTTCTGTTCTGCCTTCTCATTGGTTGTAAACACAACCACATGACCTCCTAGTCACTGCCTGTCTGTACAGACCTTCAGGTCTTCTATGGTTGATATTGAGATTAAAGGCATATGTCTCCAATGCTGGCTGTATCCTTGAACACACAGAGATCTACCTAGCTCTGCCTACCAAGTGCTGGGATTAAAGGCGTGCACCACCACCGCCCAGCTTTTGCTATGGCTTGCTAATAGCTCTGACCCCCGGGCAACTTTATTTATTAACATACAAATCACATTTTAGTACAAATAAAATATCACCATATTTCCCCTTTTCTATTTTAATAAAAAGAAAAAAGGAAAAAAGCTGTAACTAATGTAAGAAAAAATATATACAAAAGTACAATAACTATATACCATATATACAAGCAATAAATACCTAAACAATGTCTAGTCCATTTGTATTTGACAAATTCAAAGAAAATAATTCCATTATCTATCCTATTTTGGTAAGTCCAAAATGTACCTAATTCACTTTCTATCCTAACTAATCTTCAACTATAACTAACTAATCTTCAACTCCCTCAGAGACACAAGAAGGAAATAATATTTCCTAACAAAAATAAAAACAGGAAGTGCATGCAAGCAACTTCCAAAAAAATTGTGAGTTGACAGAAACAGCCAGCTGCCTGGACAGTCACCTGAGGTTTCAGCCTATAGACTTAGCATATCTGACAGACTCATTTGTGAAGTAGGATGTACACAAGGTCAACAGTTCAACCTCACATTGGGTGAGAGCAGTCCTAATTCACTTTCTAACCTAACTTGCATTACCAAAATTATCTTTTAATGTCTGTCAACCTTGTATACTTTACACCTCTTTAGTGAATTTCTTTGCTGAATCTGGTAACAAGGATAATTATAACTATAGCTATAAGGACTTCAACTCCATCGGAGACCCAAGAAGGAAATAATACTACCTGAGTAAACAGGAAGTGCAAGCAAGCAACTTCCAAAAAATGTGAGAAATGACAGAAACATCTGGCTGCCTGGACAGTCAGTCACCCACAGTTCCTCTTCAATGTCGGGGCATCCATCTTCAGCCTACAAGCTTAGAATATCTGACAGACTTTTCTGTGAAGCAGGATATTCCAAAGGGCTGTCCTACCTTACCTTGGCAAAGTTTAGCAGGCCTTGCTTTTGTGTCCTTGTCCCATTTGGACAGCATACTGTCAACAGTTGAGGCAAGGGCATTTTCTTGCCCAGTGGCTAACTTACCACAAAGAAAGTAAACTCCATATGTAGTTTCTTCGATGCCCATCATCTTCTCTGAAGTAGATTTGTGCTACCAGGAGCAGACATGTCTCACTGTTATTAAAAAAAAAAAAAGAAAAAGGAACCTATGTTATTAAAATATCTTAAATACCATAGTCAATAGCTCTCTGAAGTGTTTGGTGACCACCTGTCTACCTAAAGTATATCTCTTTGACCTTGAAAACATACCTGATATGACTACAAGTTCAATTGTAATAGGTGACTAGTTACTAACCTGCATTTCCTTATTATCCTAAATAGTTGGTAATAATAACTTTCTAGGACTAGGAATTTGCATGACATTGATAAATGAGCTGTATAGGTACAATACTTTCAACAAGATTAGAAACATGTACAGTATGCTCTAACAAAAATAATCTTAATTTTGTATCAATATACAAAAATCCATATCAATGTAAAATATTTAAGTCTATTAGTTGCTTTTTTGGTTTAAAAGTAGATTCTATAATCTATCCTTATCATATCTATAGCCCCCTTTTTTCTTTTCAAAACAAGAACTCTCAATCTAATGTCCTTTGTTCAGCTTTTTTCCTGACCATTACCAATAACAACTTGTAACCAACCACCCTAAACAATGACAAATATCCATAACCCACTGAATGACCAAAAGCCACCCACCCCACCTCTTATGAATGTGGGCATCGTGTTCTTAAGTTTACTTCCTGCTGTCTGGGGGCAAAGGCATCTTTAGGGGATCCTGAAAAGAAAAATTTGAGTTAATTGCAAGTCCTAGGAGAGGTAGCTGTATCATTTGTTGTCTAGTTTTGCTTAATGGGAAAGTGCAGGGCTTATCTCAAGTTCTGGCTAGAGTAGTCTGTGAGGCTGGATCATCTCAGCTAGCCACCTCAAGATTATCCTGAGCAGTTTGCAGTCCAAAGCCGATCTTTGGGTGGTGTTTGTCAGCTTAGTAACATTATCGCAATACAGGTGGAATCCTCATTGTGGGACCCCGTCATCCTTTTGGAGACTTCAAAGGTCACTGTTAGGCGTGTTCATGGTTCACTGCTGAAAACTTAAACGTTTTAAATGTCATATGCAGACATTTATTTATTTATTATTAACCTCAAAAAGGTTAAAGGATTGATATTTGTTATATACATCCAGAGTACAAAAACTTAATTCCTAGTTACCTAATAGAGACTCAAACCCGAAATCATGTACAGGAAGCTAGATGAAACCTTTTTCTAGAATTACTTAGTACTCTATGTGACCATTAATATCATGACAAAAAAAAGTTTAAAATATATATAATTAATATTATAAATTTTGAGAAAATATTCATACCTTACAAAAAAGTTTTAAAGAGTCAAAATGAAACCAAAAGATTATGAGATTAGTGGCAATAAAATAGTCCCTTAATTTTTGTTTTTCTTCTATCCCTTATCAGTTGGCTCTTCTGACACAAGACTGAAATTTTGGCTTTTACTTTAAGAAGCATTCTTGGGTTTAGAGAAGGAGAGAGTCACACTCATGTCTTTAGAGAACAGCAGAAACAAACATTTAGGAAGAGTTATGAAATTTCATCCTGTTGAAAATGTGATATATCAATAGGCCAATTTACTCTTTTTCTTGGGACATTTTTTTCTGGATGATTTGTCCTTTTTCTTCAGATGTCTCATTTGTCCAATGGTCTTCAGATTCTTTAGCTGGATGTCTTTATTTTCCTGAAAAGACAAAATAAAACCCTTTCCCAATCTTAACTTTGGGGAAGTTCCCTTTTGGCAAGTTATATCTGATCAAATGAAAAGCATTTGTTAGTTGTATGAGTTAGTTTAAATTGAATGGTCATGCTGGTTGATGAACTATCACCTCTTCTACTCAAGAGATCTCTCTTGTTCAAATCTAATCTTTATCAATTTTGATTAATGGTTTCTACTGAATTTTTTGTTTTATTTCTTAAAGCTTTTCTATCATCCAGAGCAGTATGGTTTTTTACAATTGGCTTTAGGTCCTTTAATTGCTCTGGGAAGGAGTTTCCTCCACAGTGACAGGAAAGGCCTTAACAGAATTTGACATGGGGGCCTGTGAGAGACCCCTCAAGGTGTTACCGATGGCAAAGGGTTACCTTGCCTGTCCCTTGTTGATCTACATTCATTAATCCAATGTCTGCCTTTACCACACCTTCTGCATACTCCAGAATCCATGTGTTCTATTGGGATTATTCTTAGGAAGAAAAAAAAAACAAACATTGTTTCTAGGAATGTCGTGTTTAAAGTCCCTTTTTAGGTGACCTTGTTTACCACAATTGAAACACTTGACATTTTGATTTTTGTTCAAACCTCTGAAAGTTTCCTCTCCTATCCAAGCATCATCATGGTCAAGAGATTCAATATTGACTGTATCTCAGATCCATTCCTCCAAGGGTGCTGATCTTGCCTTTAATGGTTTAATTACCCTTTTGCATTGTGCATTAGCATTTTCAAAAGCCAAAGATTCAATTTTTATTTGTCTAGCTTCTGAATTTGGTATCATTCTATTTACTGCTGAAGTCAATCTTTGTAAGAAATCAGTGAAGTTTTCTTTTGAGCCCTGCATAACTTTAGTAAATGACTCAATTTTCTTTCCTACTTCTTCAGTTCTGTCTCAAGCATTCAAGGCTGCTGGGAGGCATGAAGCTAGGGTGTGGTCTTCATATAGAGATTGCCTTTCTACATTAATAGCATAATCTCCCTCTCCAAGAAGTTGATCCTGGGAGATTTCAATACCTCTCACCCTACTTCATTGCTCAATAGTTTTAGCCTCATCTTTCCACCAGGTCCTCCACTCTAACTGAGGACCAGGCTTCAAGACTGCTGTAACCAAGTCTCTCCATTCTTGAGGGATAATTCTATTACAAGTTGAGTTTAACATCTACTTCACAAAAGGTGAATGCATGCCATATGAGACTATTGCTTTCTTGAATCTCTTCAAATCTAACATTTGCACAGGAATCCATTCAAATAGTCTTATAGTCTTGAGGATATCTATCATTTGGCAGTTCCTGTAAGGTTACTGGATAAATTAAAGTTGGCTGTTTGAAAATCTTAGGCTGTTCCTCCCTAACCTTGTAATGCAATGCTGAGATTAGTTCTCCTTTAAATTCTTCTGTCTGGGTCTGAATCTCTCTATGATCTGTTTTAATAAGTTTTTCTAAAACTTATCTCTGTACTCATTAACCAACTTTTTTATGATAAGATAAAAATGATCAAACAGGTAATTTTTATAATTGACATTATGTAAATCCCATCTAAATTATCCTCTCATTTAATTGTTCCATTTTCAAACCATCCTGTGTATTATCATATGGAGACCTAACTCCATTGTAATAGTGTTTCCCATTTTTTAATGTGGGAAAAAACTCTCTTTTAACTAATTCCTCCCTTTAATAATTCCCAATTTTCTCACCAAATCTACTGGTGATAATGATTCGGTTGTGAGGCTGACTGCTTCTGCATAGAACAGTAGAAGCCAGAACGGGTTTCAAGGGAGCTACCTAGTGTGGTAGCAGCCCTAGGAAGGGAGTCTAGGGAGAGCCCACAACCCACCAAGAGAGGAGAAGCCAAAGAGCCAGCCATCTGCACAGAGGCACGGGCCAAAGCAGCTAGCTCCTGTGGTTTTGGGGGCCCAAAAGCCTATGGAGTTTGCTACAGATAGGCTGCAACAGAAAAATCCTAGATCCACTCAGAGGCTTAGGGGAATACAGCTTGCCTGGAGATCAAAGTATGGAGCTAGCCATTAGAGGTCAGGCAGTGGTGGCACACACCTTTAATCCCAGCATTTAGGAGGAGGAAACAGGAAGTGATAAGGCAGGATGGAGACAGGAGCACAGGCCCTTATCACTCTGAGGATTCCTAGAGGTAAGAATTCTTTCTCATGACTGCTACTCTGCCTCTCTGAACTTTCAGCTTTCACCCTGATATCTGACTCCAGGTTTTTATTATTAAGACCAATTAGAATTTGTGCTACAGACAGTTCTCTTCACTTAAGTGTTTTTCTCTCTTCCTTAGGATATGGTCTACCAGATGATATTGTCATAGAAAAGAGGGGCAAAGGAGATACTTTTGTGGATTGCACGGGTATGGATGTTAAAATTTCAAGCATAAAATTTATCCAGCATGATTCTATAGAAGGAATCTTAGGTAAGTATCTGGATATTTGATATATTTGTTTTGAGCTTTGAGAGAAAAATTGGCTTTTCATGGAAGATAAAATTTAATACTACTTGGATATATGTAGGGCTAGTTAATACTTTATGTGCATATCATGAAAATTTAGGAATCCTCATAGTGAAAAATAACTCAGTTTATTCTTGAAAACTTATTCATTTCTTTTCTATTAATGTTTTCTTGTTGTAGTTTGGTTTGGTTATTGAGACAGGCTATCACTCTGAACCTAGCCATCATGGCAAATGGCAGCCCTGCCTCAGCCTCCTGAGCCCTGGGTTTATAGGCATGTTTCACTACACCTAATACTAGTATAATAGTTTTAAAGTGGTAGACCCTTTTTGGACATGTTTCCTAGTAGTAGGTAATTAGATTACTGAGGCTCTATCCGTGGGAATGGATTGATACTGGTCTTGTAGGAGCAGATTAGTTCCCCTGAGAGTATGTTCTTATAAGAATGAACATGGTAACTCTGTACTCTTCCTTGCTGGTGCATGTACCCCTTCTATATGCAGTTCCTCTCTACATTGTGACATATCTAGGGAGATCTTATCAGATACCATGCTGTTCTGAGTTTATATACACTACAATCGTGTGTGAGGAATTTTGTTATAGATACACCAAAAAGACCAAAACATTGTTCTAGTATTTGTTTTATAGGATATGTATCTACCTGTTTTCAAGATCCTTTTTCTTTTTCCAAGGTACCCAGCAAAGCTGTTTGTTGATACATAAAGGCCATTGTGGTAGTTTGAATGAGAATGGACCCCATTGGCTATTTGAATGTTTGGTTCCCAGTTGGTGGACTATTGGGAAGGCTTAGGGGGTGTGATCTTTTTGGAGAAGTGTTTTATTGGTGGTGGACTTCAAGGTTTCAAAAGCCCACATCAGACTGAGTCTCACTGTCTGCCTGCTCTCTACCTGTTGATCAGGATCTACAATTCTCAGCACTTCTCCAGCACCACGCTTCCCTGTGTGCCGCCTGATGATCATGTACTAACCCTCTAAAACTGTGAAGCAAGCCCCTGATTAAATGCTTTTTCTTATTTATCTTGTAAGAGTTGCCTTGGTCATGATACAGCAGTAGAACAGTGACCAAGACAGCAGATTAAATTTAAATAGGCTGAATACACAACAAGATGGGTTAAGTACATAGTCTTAAATGATCTCAGCACCTGTTATTAACTTGGCTGCAAAGTTCATCAAAACTTTAGTTTTTTGGGGGGGTCAAGAGATATTTTTATAAAGAGTTATCACAACATCTAATGTTAGCTGTAAGCTGTTTCTGATATTGATATATCACTTAAAGTAGTTGAATGAATATTTTTGTTACAGTCATTCACCATGGCAAGACCACACTGGAAAATTGTGTACTGCAATGTGAAACTACAGGAGTCACAGTACGCACATCAGCAGAACTTTTCATGAAGAACTCAGATGTATATGGTGCCAAGGTATTGCTTTGTCTTTGGAAAGAAGTAGTTAGGGTGTTTAAGTTCCAAATAAATAAAACAAATAAGATACCAATAGTTGTAAATCTATTATTTCTTCAAGGAAATTCAGACATTAATAATCTAGTCACCTAAAATTTAGGAAGTCATTAAACATAAGACCTCTATAGCATTTTATAAACAAGGCACTGGAAGAGAAAATGATTGTCTAACTTTCCCTATGATGACTTTAAGAAGTATAGACCCCTGGGCTGGAGAGATGGCTCAGCGGTTAAGAGCACTGGCTGTTCTTCCAAAGGTCCTGAGTTCAATTCCCAGCAACCACATGGTGACTCACAACCATCTATAATGAGATCTGATGCCCTCTTCTAGCCTGCAGGCAAAACATGCAGACAGAATACTGTATACATAATAAATAAATAAATCTTTAAAAAAAAAAAGAAATACAGACCCTTAAGATTATACCCTGGTGGGACTGGAGAGGTGACCCAATGGCTAAGAACTAATATACTGCTCTTGGAGAGGACCCAGGTTCAGTTCCCAACACTCATGTCAGTAGACCAACAACTATTTGTAACTCCTACTCCAAAGGATCTGACACCCTTTTTGTGGACTCTGGGCATCTGTACTCACATGTGCACATTCCTACACACACACACACACACACACACACACACACACACACACACACACACACACACACACACACACACATATATATATATATAAAATATAGTATTTACTATATATATATAGTAAATACTTTTCTTAATATTTTTAAAAGATCATAACTATAAATATTCTAACAATTGAAGCTGTTACTCTAAGTGCTTGAGAATTTCATACATGCATATATACACCTCCTTTTCCCTCTTCTCCATTTCCTCCTCTACCTCTTTATCACTTTCCCCTCCCAACCTCGTGTCCTCTTTTTTTTAAACCTTTGTCCATTTATTGCTGCCCAGATGTGTATGGGTTGAGGTCCATGTGATGGATTGACTGAGAATGAGCCACTGTAGGCTTTGTTGAGAGTCATTTTGAATAACTACATCTTTCAACAGAATTGTTAAATAAATTTATTGACGTAATCAGAAAATTGATTTGTCTATAATGAAAATGTATAATAAGCATTAAGTGTGGCACTCTTTACTCCTTGTAATGTACATCTTTATAAGTGTTTGTGTGTGTGATTTTTATATGTGCTACTGTTTGTCTCTGTGGTGTGATGTGTGGGTATGTGTGTATAGGGGTATGTGTGCTCATGTACTCATGCATATATAAGACAGGTTGATGTTGAATCTCTTCCTCAATCACTTCTATATTATTTTTGAGGTAATGTCTCTCAATGAATCTGGAGCTCGTTTAGTCTGGCTGGACGGTGATCCTCCTGTCTCTGTCCTCGCAGCACTGGAGTTACAGGTTCGCACAGTTGTGCCTGGATTTTTATGTATGTGTTTGGGATCCAAACATTTCATGCTTGTGTTGCAAGCATTTTAGTAAATGAACCTTTTTTTTTTTTTCAGTTTTATGAATGTGATTTTTGAAAGTGCTTAGTTATCAAAAGTTGCTCATCATTGGAGTATTGCTTGGTGCCCCAATATTGCTTGGTGGCAATATGGATTAGAACTGCCTAATAAAGGCCAGCAAAATGGCTCAGTGGGTTAGATGCTTGCTACTAAACCTGAAAACCTGAGTTTGGTCCCTGAGAACCAAAATGGGAGAAGGGGAGAACCAACTCCTAAAAATTGTCTTATGATTTCCACAGGTACACCATGGTATGTATACACACACACACACACACACACACATACACACAAGTATGTGTGAAGTTACGCACGTCCACAAAATAAATAAATGTGAAAGAAAGACCTAATAAAAGTTATCTTTAAAACAATATATTTTGCATTTATCCCATCTGAAAGGCCAAGAAGTAATAGTAATAAACCTTTATAATCGTGTCTTTTTAAATATTTTATTTGCATGTATGTGACTGTTTTGCCTGCTTGTATGTCTGTGCACCACATGTGTTCCTGGTGCTCATGGAGGGAGGCCAGAAAGAGGGTGTAAGATCCCCTGGAACTGGACTTAAAGATGGTTGTGAGCCACCATATGGGTGCTAGGAGTTAAACCCTGGGTGCTCTGGAAGAGCAGCTAGTGCTCTTAACTGCTAAGCCATCTCTCTAGCCCCTATTCTTAACTTTTTAAAGCTGGTACCTCATATTTTATAGGGTGCTGGTATAGAAATATATCCTGGGAGTAAGTGTACCCTAACTGACAATGGGATCCATCACTGCAAGGAAGGGATCCTTATTAAGGTGAGTATTAACTGAAACATTTTTTCTAAAAGTTAGAATGATTTCACCTAAAAAGTTATGTATATTTCTCATGTTGTGTTTTGTTATTTTGTTTTGTAAAATATAAACAGTACATAAACTTTATGGACACTAATAGTAATTAAAGTCTTGTATCTTTAGATCCGCAGAAATAACAGCAACACTTACTTTGAACTCAGTGCTACAACTTACTAATAAGCATAGCTTTTGTACTTTCATTTTTAGAAATAGTGTGGGGAAAGGCAGAGAATTTATGAAACTTGTTTAATATGACAATTCCTTAACATACTTGTTTTCAATGTTACAGGACTTCCTTGATGAACATTATGATATTCCCAAAATTTCTATGATAAATAACATCATACATAACAATGAAGGTTATGGTGTTGTTTTGGTGAAGCCTACGATTTTCTGTGATCTACAGGAAAAGGCCCAAGATGAAACTAGCGGTATGCTATATTTAGTAATTTAATTAAAATATGTAAATGTACTTATTAATTGAATATAAAACTAGATCTAATTTACTGTATTTCAGCAGTAAATTCTGGTGACAATTTTAGTTTTTCTTCCTCAAAAATGTTGCTGGAGGTCTGGCGATAGAGTTCAACTTGTAGAGTGTTTGCCTAACATGCACAAAACTGTAGGTTCAGTCCCAACACTTGGGCGTGAGAATTGAAGCTACAGAGAGTCAGAGATCACTTTTCAAAAAAACAAGCAAGCATACAAACATTAAATATGCTTGGTCATAGAGAGAAGCTTGGTAGAATCTAAGTATGAAAGAAACTTTCAAATTTGACTTGTTGATCTGTTCATTCAGAGCTTTGGTATGGTTCAGTGAAAGTCCCTTTTTGGCTTCTTGTCAATGTGTGAAGTATAGTAGCTTCTGTAGATATTTGTGAAGGATGAAAACGGGAAAAGAATTTTCCAGGTTGCAAGTTGCTTTTGCCTGAAGTTTATTAGAGTTTACCTTTGCTTTTTCTTGCTTAAAAGTAACTGCCTCCCTGATACCAGCTTCCTGGCAGTAAAGATGAGTGCACACAGTGGAAATGTGTGAATTTGAAGTCATTGGTGTAAACCACTTTTAAATATCAGACATAAAGAAGTATAAAGTATTAGTGTGCCGATGGAGATTTTGAGGCAGTTTAAAGAATATGCCTTGCCATCATTCAGGGTCCATCCTACTCAGGACTTAGCAGGGTAAAATTGAGATATATGTTGAATAGAATCGTACCTTGAAAGCTCTGGTGGAAGAATCTACTTCCTATTTCTGAGTTCCTCTTCAGCAACCAGCTAGAGGGGGCCGGGGGGACTTTTAAATAGCCTTAATTGCATTGCTCGGTAATAATGCAAAATCTTTTTGTCATTTAGTAATCATGTGAGGACCCTCTTGAGGATGGAAATCATGATGGCAGTCAATTAGCTGGTAGAGTGAGAGTGCATTTAAGGAAAGTAGCACTGTTGTATTATTCTTTGCATCCTAGCTCCCAATGCAGAGCTTAGCAGATAGTAAATTTCCAGGAAAATGTCTGCCCAGTGACTAAGATTCTAGGATGAAGAAGATAAACAAAATTTAAAATTGGTGACCTTATTAGTGTCATGAAACTTTTCAAGATTCATTGAGATTCTTATAGTAAAGAATTAGTAAAATCCAGTTATAAACTCTTGGCAGAAAATACTTGAGCATAACAGATTGTGTTAGAAATACCCCCTTGTTGGTTTAGACTGTACATTTAACTTCATTATAATTTGTTTCCTCAGACAATACAATTCAGAAAAATAGAGAGGCGGGTGCCACTGAAGGATTAGATCTGGAAGAAATGTTTCAGTGTGTGGCTAGCAAAATGGAGCTTTATGCCACAGCTGACTTTTCTGACCAAGCTAAGGGAAACTGTGAAATTATAAATGAACTGCTTGCTACTTCCATGCAAAAAGGCCGGATGAAGAAACGATTGAGCGAACTTGGGATCATACAAGCTGATGACAACATAATGTCACAGGCGATGTTTATTGAAATTATGGGAAACCAGTTTAAGTGGAATGGCAAAGGGAGTTTTGGCACATTTCTTTACTAGCTACAATGATATCAGTAGCTCACAAAATATTGTATTTTGAACATATCCTAACAATCATGCTGCTTATGTAGTTTGCTTCATTTGCTTCATGTCTGTATGTTATATAATATGTACTTGATTGAACTTGTGTAAAATGTGTATTTACTTCTATCTACATGTATTAGACACAAAGCACTCCTTTGTAACAAAGCCACAAAAACATAAAATATGGCTGTATATGTAGCTCATTAGAGCATTTGTCTAACATGCCCAGTGCCCAGGCCCCAGGTTCGATACCCAGCATTCCTCCACCTCCCCCACAAAAAGGAAGGAAACTAACTGGAGATTTCTTATCTAGAAAAGTATGCTTTCTTAAATGCACAACTCTCCCATATTAAGCCTGAAAATACACTTTAGTATTGAAAATGAAAGAGATGCAAGATGTGAGAACAAGCATGTGGTAGATGTCATGTGTACAGTGTTCCTTTGTCTGTTTGAGATAGGGTCCCTACATAGCCATTTCTGTCCAGGAACTCAATGTATAGACCATGCTGGCCTCAAACTCATATTGATCCACCTACTTCTGCCTCCTGAGTGCTAGGATTAAAAACACATGTCACCATACCTAGCTTGGATTGGATACATTTTTATATTGAAATGTATTGTCATCAAATAGAACTAAATAACAGGTTATGGTTATGAAACAGAAATGTGTTCAGAGCCAGTATTGAATATAAATGATTAATAAGAAAGCACCTTTCTTTTGCTATAGTATTCTAATCATCATTCTCTTCCCTTCTTTATGATTCCTGCCCCCCCACTTCAACCTTTTCTTTTTAAATCATTATCTTGTATACCTCTGCTGGTTTAAAACTGTGTAGTCAGGGTTGGGGATTTAGCTCAGTGGTAGAGCGCTTGCCTAGCAAGAGCAAGGCCCTGGTTTCTATCCTCAGCTCCAAAAAAAACCCAAAAAACTGTGTAGCCATTAATGTCCTTGATCCTTCCACCTCAGCCTCCCAGACACTAAGACCACTGAGTTGGAGCACTATTCCTTGTTTTCTGTGATTCTGGAGATTCTGAGGGCTTTGTGTGTACTGGGCAAGCACTCCACCAAGCAAAATGCTCAGCCTTCTGGTCATTTTTCTTAATCAAAATATCAGTAGAAACTTTTTTTGTATTTAATGTAAAAGATTGTGTGTGTCATTAATTGTTGCTTATTTTTCATGGGGAGATGTGAACAGATCTCTACTACCCCCAGACAGGGCACTGTCAATTGACCAAAGTAATGATTCCACACAAGTCTAGGTTGGTAAGGAGTTGGAGTTGTGTAGGTGACCCAAAAGAGCTACACCACTGCACAGTCCCACTCCATTGTGAATGGAAGCTATTTCATGGAGTTCCACCTTCAAGTAGTCTTCTACCTCCTGTATATTCTAGCAATACCCCTTTCCCAAAGATCTCTTATTGCTGTGAGACAGGAGGAAAGGTTTGTAAAATCCTAGGTAAGAGTCAGTTGACTCTACCTCTTATATTAAAGAGTGTTAATAGCACCATTACCATTACCCTAGACTTAACATTGCCATGACTATGGCACTAAAGTCATCTCTGCGTTCTGCTCTATGATTAGTGATCATGGTGTCAGCATTGTCCCTGGTCCTCCTCCAGTGTTGTCCCCTGAGCTTTGGATGGCGCGATATGCTTATGATGCTGTTTTGAGCACTGGGCATTTGAGCATTGTCATATTAACAATCACATATTGGCATTTAACTGGTTATGAATCTTGATGTAAATAGTTTTTCTCCATAACCAAAATTGATAGCAGCAGTAATAAGTATGCTTAATAACAAATACTTAGAGGGAAGTTACATAGACACATAACGTGTATTAATAGTATGCTTCATACCATAGTCTTTCCCCACTACCAAATATAAGTTAGTCCCTGTCAAATGGGCCTTAAATCCAGCATTTGTTATTGGATTTTTTTTTTTTTTTAATTATAGCCTTTCTGACTAGGGTAAGATTATCTCAATTTGGTTTTAGTTATGAGTTAGAGTTGGGATCAGGGGTTCAGGATTAATGTTGCTATGATAAATCACAGCCGATACAACTTATAGAAAAGGTTTATTTGGGTTTACTGTTCCAGAGGGATAAGTCCATCATGGCTGGTAGGAAGTCAGCAATCTGCAGGCTTGGTAGTAGGAACATGAAGTTGAGAGCTCATCTCAACCACAAGTACAAAGGCTCACACTTCTGCCTGTGCATTTCAGTTTCCTTGTCTCATTTAATCTTTGTTCATAAAACTTGCCGAGGCAGTGAGGGAGGAAAACATCTGACTTGTGTGTAACCGGAAGACCAAGCCAACAGCAGACGGATGCCGGACAAGCACAGTGCCCCGAACCCTTCCTCCTCAGAGACCTCCTCAAAGATCTCAGCCTTGAAGGGGAGAAGAGATGCCACGGCGAGGCAAATGGAATGTTGGCTTTGAGAGTCATAAGCCAAATGAAAGCAGGCACCAGTGGTAGGAAGTGGAGGAGGGAGGTTAAGACTGCGTTTTAGGAACAGGGTCAGGGACATGGTGGAGGTGAGAGCCATGGTTAGACGGTCAGGGACCGTTCATCATGACCTGGACCCCAGTCACAGCTGTCAAACGTGACTTCCTGTCCACAGCCCTGCTGCGCCTAAACATCCGTGAACTCGGGATCCACAGGAGCCCCGAAACCACTGCTGTGACTTCCTCCTCTGAGGGTGACATCAGGCGACCAGAAGCCGATCCCACGCCAGGCTGAAGTGATCCCGACGCCACGCGTGCTGTGGGAGTTCCTGGGGTGCATGGCCTTCCCTGCACCGAATGATTTTTCCCTTTCAGTGCAAGTCAGTGAGTACTGTAACATGAGTCTTAAAAGGTCTTATTAATAAAACAACCCAGAGCCAGATATTGGGGTGAATGCTGAAAGATCAGAGAAATAGAACAAGCCACAGCCAACCTCACCTCACCAACTCCTCAGCTGATCCTGTTTCCACGAATCCTCAGACTGAAAGCCTCTGAGTCCTCACCCGAGGGTCTTAGTTGAACTGCTGCTTAGTTCCTGTCTCCTCACACCTTATATTCCGTTCTCCACTCACCCATGTCACTTCCTGGGATCAAAGGCATGTGTGCTTTCAAGCAAAGGCACAAGATCTCAAGTGCTGGAATTGAAGGCGTGCCTCCACACCTGACTGTTCCCAGTGTGGCCTTGAACTCACAGAGATCCATACGGATCTCTGCCCCTCAGTGATAGGATTAACGGTGTGTGCCACCTCTGTCTGGCCTCTATGTCTAATCTAGTGACTTGTTCTTTTCTCTGATTCTCAGATAAGTTTATTAGGGTACATAATATATTAGGGTACACAATATATCACCACAGAGCACTCTTTAAGGAGCACTTCCACTGAGGGAGCACTGTATGAGAAGTCAGGTCATCATTGGTGCAACAAACAAGGAGCACTGCCTGGCAAGCACCCCTGCAGTCAGTGAGAACCGTGTGAGGACAGTCCCTCTTGGCAAGCACTGTGTGGGGAGCACCTAGTTGTCAGTGAGCACTGTGTTGAGAGCACAGATTCATGGGGAGCACCCTGCCATCTGTGAGCACCATGTGAGGAGCACCCTGCCATCATGTAGCACCTCATGGGGAGCATCCAGCCCTTGGGGAGCACCACACTCAAGCGTCCTCCCTTGAGCAGCCACAGAACGGGAAGGCAGCGCCACAGCAGGGCTGCAGCCAGGGCTTCCAGAGTGCATTGAAGGCAGAGAGTTGGTGGGGCACAGGAGTGATGGTGGCTCGGTGTTCCCTCACTGCCGCTGTCATCCTGCTGAGCACTGTGTCAAACAGCACCTCGTTCTCTGAGTTCAGCGGCCGTGACTCGGCGGGATCTCGTGAGATGTCAAAGAGCAGTGGCGGGTCATGGTGGGTGACATCACCCGAGCACGCACACACCCCACTGCCATGGCAGGCATCCAAGCCCTCTGAAGAGCCTTTGGAGGTGATGTAATGGGCCTTCCACACTGTGTTGCCTGCACAGGGGAAGAACCACGTGACATGACCCCCATGGACTTCCATATTAATCCAAGACCTCATGGAGTGGGATCTCAGGAACATGCCCCACAGTGGGGGTGGGGAGGGCGAGACTAGGTGACCTCATTGTGAGGAGATGAGCATAATTGACTGACTGCATGAGCGATGCTTGATCGAAAGGGGTCGTGCAACGGTCACAGGACCAGGACGGTTATCTCGAGATACTTTCAGAGGCTTCTTCTTCACCCACTTCTTCCTCTCCCTCACTTCCTCATCCTGTACTCTTTATTTCCCCTCCCTCTTCCCCACAATTCAATTTCCCCATCCCTTCCTCTTCTACTTACCCTCCCTCTTCCTCCCAACTTCCTCTTCCCCTTCCTGTCCTCATTTCTGGTACCCCTCCTTCTTCCTCTTCCCCTTCCCCACCTACTTCCTCTTACATTTCCACTTCTTATTCCTCTTCCCATTTCCTTTTTGTCGTCCCCCCCCCCCCCCGGCTTCCTCTTCTCCTGCTCCCTCTTCCTCTTCCATTTCCCCTTCCTCTTCCCATTTCCGTTTTCCTTTTGCTTCTGCCCACCCCTGTGCCCACTCACAGTCCCTCTGGTGCCACCGGACACTGTGCAGGAAAACGCCGCAGTAGTGAAACAGGAACTCGTGGTCCGAGCGCTGCACGCGGCCCTCCAGCAGCGGCATCAGGTTCCGGCCATCAATCACTCTTCATGCAGAAGCACGGGTGGGGGTGGGGGTGAGAAGGGGGCATAGGGAGGGAGGCGGGATTTCAGTACAAATCCAACTCCACCCCGTCAATCATCCCTCAGGCCCCGCCCCCACTCGCCCCACCCCCTCAGCACCTGTCCTGGGGAAGGATCCCGCCGCCCACGTGACTCAGCGTGGGGAGCAGATCCATGAGGCTCGTGGGCTCCTCGACTACTCGTCCTGCCTCCAGCACCGTGGGCCACCGGAAGATGCCAGGCACACGCACTCCGCCTTCCCAGCCACCGGTGCCACTGCCTCCTGTCACGTGACCAACATGGAGCAGGGTCGAGAAGGCTGAGCACGGGTGGGTTGACTGCAGCCCAGCCCAGGTCCAGGGTTCGAATCCTGCACCCTGCCCCCCTTCGGGAATAGTGGGGAACACAGTGTAGGTGGCTTTTGACTTCCACACAGAGCCTGGGGCGACAGCAGCACATGCTGGGAGCCCTCACCCCGGTAGACACCATTCCAGCCTCCCGCGTGAGCACTGCCCTCTTTGGCCTCCAGGCGGCCACCATTGTCCGACGTGAAGTAAACCAGGGTCTGATTGGTCAGGCGCTCCCGGTCCAGGGCAGCGAGGACCTTCCCTGGAGGGGTGGGGGAGAGTGGGAGGGTGTAAAGTTTTTCTGTGTCCCGCCTGGCCTGCAGCGCCTCAGACCCAAATAAACATACAGAGACTTATATTATTTACGAACTGTATGGCCTATTGGCTGAGTCTTCTCGCTAGCTAGATCTTACATCTTAACCCATTTCTATGAATCTATACTTTGCCACGTGGCTCGTGGCATACCAGTATTTTTACACCTTGCTTCTCATGGCGGTGGCTGGCAGCTTCTCCTCTGTTCTGCCTTTCTCTTTCCTCCTCTCTGGTTGGGATTTCCCACCTAACCCTATTCTGCCTCACCATTGGCCAAACAGCTTTATTTATCAACCAATCAGAGCGGCACATATTCACGGCGTACAGAATGACATCACCCATCAGGAGGGGCCAAGGTTGAGCACATGGACAGTGCGCAAGGCTTAAGGTGACACCTAGCGGCAGAGCCAGGGTGAGCATGAGGGCGGTGGTGGGCCCAAGGTGGGCTTGTAGGGGTGGGGCCTAGGGTGAACATGGCAGGGGCGGGACATATGATAAACACCTGATGGGGGGGCCTGCAGGGAGTTCATGGGTCAGGTGGGGCCTCAGATGAGTACATGTGATGAAGGCAGGGCATAGGTGAGCGCCTGAGGCGGGGGCCTGGACTACCTTGTGCATGTAGGTAAGGGGTGGGTCCCACAAAGAGAAGGCAGGTGGGGGCGGGGCCTGCAGTGAGCACCCTCAGTGTCTGCTTGGGGTAAGAGCGCCCACTGCCAGGGAGTCCTGGGGGGATATCATATGTGATGACTGAACAACAGCATCCTAGAGTTCACACAGATGTTATTTCTGACGATGTTAAATGACAATATGATGCCATCACTCAGATCACAGGATGCTTCCTTATTAAATCACGCCATGATGTCACCCAATGACCATGAAACATTTGCCTAATTTACTTCCTGTGCTCTTTACATATGCAGTTCCTCACTCGGTCACGTGACACTCACCCACCATCCAGTCCAGCTCCTCCACATTGTCCCCGTATGCCCCAAACTTGCTGCGACCCACGAAATTCCCGCGTGTAGGCAGGGGCGTGTGCACATGCAGAAAGGACAGGAACAGCAGGAATGGGCCTCTCTTATGCCTGTGGTGGGAATTCAGGGGGGTCACATGACCCCTCAGGACACGCCCACAGCGCTCCCATGTCAATCACCCTCAGGCCCTGCCCCTAGGCCCTGCGCAGGACATGATATCACCTGTCAATGAAGGCCAGTGCCTCCCTTAGCATCAGCCCAGACGCCCGGGCCTCCTCGGCTGGCTGCTGGACAATGTCATGGTCACGCATGATGATGCAGTTCCACCTGCGCACGAAGCCATAGCTGCTGAACCAGGACAGGAAGAAGAGCGCGGCCAGGAAGCCAGAAGTGGCCACAAGTGTCCAGGGGACAGAAAACCAGCGTGCCAGGCGGGGCACCAGCAGCAGGAAGGGGAGGGTGGCCAGCGCTGCTGATGTCACCCACAGTTGGATGCGCAGCCTACGGTGCACTTCCGGCCAGGAGCTGGCACCGCAGTCCCCCAGCAGCCCCAGCGGCATCCCATAGAAAAAGTTGAAGCCATGGTTGAGCGGGTGCGCACAGTGGTCGCCACGGGATGCACAGCTCATGCCCAGGTGCCACTTCCCTGTGTGGGGGAGGGGAGAGTGAAGGTGAGGTCATTGGCACGTGTCATCATGTTAGCGACATCACACCCTTGTGTTATCCTAGGCAGGAAACGCCCCTTTTTCACATGTGTATAATATTCCCGGCCTGCACCATCTTCGATGGAAAACACAGCCTAAGGGCTTTGTATGAGTGTCCCAATAGGTAAGGGACAGCCAAAGCCCCGCCCACTCTGGGAGGCACCTTCCTCCATACGAGGCCTCCAGCATGGAACAGCCGACTGCACATGTCATGTGACCAGCTAACTTCCAATCCTGCCTTAACTTCCCCTCGGTGCTGGGCTGTGACCCCAAGATTGAGAACTAAATGAACCTTTCCCTCTAGGAGGAGGCTTCTGTCAGGACATGTGGGTGTTGATAACTGACAGCTGTCAATCACAGGGCATCCTGGTATCATCCTGGGTAAGAAGTCCCACTCCCTAAGTCCCACCTGGCCACACAAATCGCGGCATACACAATGTCCCCTCACCCCATCCCACCCCCTCTCAGCTATGACCTCTCCTCACCTCTGACCTCTTCCCCTCCCCCCTCACCTATGACCCCCTCCTGTCCTCATTCCTTCCCTCTCTGACCTGTGACCCCTTACCCCTCAGTTATGACTCCCTCCCTGTAGGGTAAAAGGTCCAGCCAAAGAAACCCACCTGGCCCTGAAACCAGAGTCAGTGAAAGAAACACTTTAGCCCTGACCCCAGAACCAAAGAAATATACCCTGACCCTGAAACCAAAGAAACACTCTTTGGCCCTAGAATCAGAACCAGCGAAAGAAATATGCCCCGGCCCTGAAATTAGAGCCAAAAGGCCAAAAATGAACAGTGAAAGAAACATCCTTTGGCCCTGAAACCAGGGCCAAATTTGCCCCTGACCAACTAAGCAGAAAAGTAACCAGTCCCGGAGCACGAGATCTAGCCAATCTGAGCTCAAGGACTGAAGTCTGACCAATCCTCACCCTGAAAATCTTCTCCCTGGAAAACTCCGCCCCTAAGGAGCCAATATAAACCCTGCACCTGCTCAGTTTGCTGCTGCCCTTCTCCCTGCTGCCCCCCACCCTGGCTGAGGTGGGATTCTAAGATTCTTCCCTCCCTATGCATCTCTTGAATGAGGTCTGGGGGAGGCCCTCTTTCACCAGAGCAGAGCCGGAGCCTGGGCTGAGCGGAGCAGAGCTGTTCCACTGGGGAAGCGTTCCCTGGAGCAGGGCTCTAAGCTGCTGCCACACTTACTATGACTTGTGTTCCTCGGCTCCCCACGGCTAGAATACTTTTCTATCCCAGCCGCAACGCTTACACTCCCCTCCTCACCTTTCTCCTTTCTGACTTATGACTTCTCACGCCTCTGTGACCCCTGACCCCTCATCTATGACCTCCTTCCCCTCCCCCTCCTCTCTCTGACCCCTGACCCCCCGCCCCCACTCCTCACCTATGATCCCCGTGCGGTATCCGCGGTGCTGCAGCATCTTGGCGAACGTTGTCTCGTTGCTCGGGAGTCCGCCTGACCCGCCCAGCCACATGACATCACGGTACATGTTGTTGGGTGATGCCATGCCTAGGGTAGCAGAGGTCAGGGGGTCATGGGAGCTGCCATCTGAACCCGTCCGCCTGACCTCAGCACCCTGGGGATGCTATCATGACATCAGCACCACAGGACGATATCAGCACTCTCAGGAGGATATCATGACAGCAGCACAGCCACATCCCATCATGACGTCATCACACAGTATAGTATCCTGACTTCAACACCCTTGGGACTCTGTCATGATGTCAGCACCCATGGACAATGGACAACATCATGATGTCAGCACCCCAGGATTTCCCACTACAAGGAAGAGTGACATGGAAGTATATGTACATATATGCAAATTTATTTGCATGCCAATTAGCATATATTACTGAGAAATAAGCCAACCAACATTGTCTCTGCAGAGACATCTAGTCAGGCAATGGCAGACATACTGTGCATGCTGGTAGGGAGCTGCCAGTGATGATGTCTGAGCACTCTGGGTGGTGCATGCTGGGTAGCAGGCTGCCCACAGTGACATCAGGGACACGTGACACCCATCTGAGTTCACGTAACAGTGCATGCTGGTTATGGAGTTGCCCACAATGATGTCAGCTGATGCATGACACCCACCTGAGCGCACGGGGTAGCGCCCCGTGAGGAAGGCTGCGCGACTTGGTGTGCACATGGACGCAGCCGCCAGGTGCTGCGTGAGCATCACGCCCTCGCTTGCCAGACGGTCGATGTTTGGGGTGCTGTGGGGTCACAGGGAGGTCACGTGGTGGCGGTGGGGCCAGGAGAGATCATGGGTCAACATGTTACGCCCCCCCAGCTGTTAATCAAGACTTGACAGCAGAGGGAGAGGGTGGCTGCCTGTGTCACTGCCCACATCAGAGTAGCATGAGCTACTGTGATTTCTGTGGCCAGCTATCCTGTGGGCAGACTTGGGCTTCTGCAAGATGGCCGCCACCGCTGGGGGTGACGTCACTGGAAGGAGGCGGGCTGAGGGCGTGACTGCTTTTACCTGACAGAAGTGTTTCCATAGCAGCCTAGGTCCCCCACACCGAGGTCGTCCGCCATAAGCAGCACGATGTTGGGGCGGGAGTTCCGGGTCACAAACTCGCCACCCGTGTCCACGAAGGTGAAGCAGACGGACAGCCACAGATGGAGGGTCCTGGGGAAAGGTGGCCGCATACCCACAGCCCTCCCGTGTCAATCATCCCTCAGACACGCCCACAGCCCTCCCGTGTCAATCATCCCTCAGACACGCCCACACACAGGAAATAATGTATCTTCTCACCATGCATCTTGCAGTGGCATCTTCTTCTGTTTTGGGAAGCAAAGCACAAAAATAAATTTAAAAAAATGTAATTTTGATCACGTGCCACCTGCATGTGACCTGGCCATGTCATCACGCTGATGTCATTCTGATAGACTATTAGATCAACTGGGACAACATGGCTGCCCGGCGGTTTATTTGAACACCAGGTGGAAAATATTTCTCAGGTTTACAGGAAATGACATGGCTTTCCATTGAGATCGTTGAGTGACCTGTTTCCCGGCAAGTGACACTAGCCGGGGGTGGGGTCACCTGTAAGGGGCAGAGCCTAGAGGGAGAGAGTTATATAACTGCCGGCCTTTCCTTCAAAGGGACACAGGAAGCCATCTTACTTCTGGTTCACTGTGATATCAGCAGCTGGGTGTCAGCATGTGCTCCCATGATGCCCTGCTCCACCCTCTGCTCCCATGATGCCCTGCTCCACCCTCTGCTCCCATGATGCCCTGCCCTGCTCCACCCTCTGCTCCCATGATGCCCTGCCCTGCTCCACCCTCTGCTCCCATGATGCTCTGCTCCACCCTCTGCTCCCATGATGCCCTGCTCCACCCCATGTTCCCATGATGCCCTACTCCACCCTCTGCTCCCATGATGCCCTGCTCCACCCCATGCTCCCATGATGCCCTGCTCCACCCTCTGCTCCCATGGTGCCCTGCTCCACCCTCTGCTCCCATGATGCCCTGCTCCACCCTCTGCTCCCATGATGCCCTGCTCCACCCCATGCTCCCATGATGCCCTGCTCCACCCCATGCTCCCATGATGCCCTGCTCCACCCCATGCTCCCATGATGCCCTGTTCCACCCTCTGCTCCCATGATGCCCTGCTCCACCCTCTGCTCCCATGATGCCCTGCTCCACCCTCTGCTCCCATGATGCCCTGCTCCACCCCATGCTCCCATGATGCTCTGCTCCACCCCATGTTCCCATGATGTTCTGCTCCACCCTCTGCTCCCATGATGCTCTGCTCCACCCCATGTTCCCATGATGCTCTGCTCCACCTCATGTTCCCATGATGCCCTGCTGTCTCACAGCCTCCCAAGATGCTCTGGGTTACCAGCTCAACTTATTCCTCCCTCCTTTCACTAAGCATCATGGGACGTCTAGAAAGAAATTGCTCACACTTACACAAAAAATATAAGCGGATAGTAAGTTGCAAGGCATGCTGGGGTGGCAGGGAATTATATGGTGGAGAAAAAAGGTGCACACATCCCTGATGTCATCCACTCTGACCCCTCCCCCAGACTCCCATGCAGCAGCCCTGACCCCAGGTCACAGACCCTCACTAAAGCATGAGCCCGTGGGGACATGGGAAGAAGTCCCTGTGCACACATGGCAAAGGATGTGGGATATCCTGGGCTAAAACCATTATAACCACTGATTCCTTATTAACTCCCAGAATGCCATGCACCCAGAGGCCCAGGTGAGTGCAAGAACCTTCCCATCAATCCCTGCAGCTCTGATGGAGAGTCCCTGTGGCTTCATTACAAACACTTCCAGGGCTGGGAGAGGCAGAGTCATGAACAGTAATTATACTTCCGGGGTCTTTGATGTCACGGGGTCACCCCGGGGTGACCCCAATCGCCTAGAAGCAGCTATGATGTCCTAATTGTGATGTGGGCGGGAACCTGGAGTCGCTCAGGGTCAAGGGTGAAGTTCAAAGGGGACTTGGGCAGTTGTTAAATTTTCCCATCACTCCCTGCACCCTTAATTACTTAGCCAGACAGGCAGGGTCAGACAGGGTATCGCAGAAAACAGGGTGCGTGCTGGGACGGCCTGACATCACATGAGAACCACGTGACCTTCTGTGATTTCCCCCAAGTCATCGTGGGATAATGTACAAACACACAGAAATTTACGTACTCCTGTCAATCAAACGCACGCCATTACCCATCATGACCCGGACCCCAGTCACCCCTGACCATCAAACATAGATCATTTCCCATCATGACCCAGACTCCTGTCACTCCTGTCAATCAAATGCTCATTTCCCACCATGACCCTGACCCCAACAAACACACATCATTTCCTATCATGATCAGTAACCCGATCACAGCTATCTAACACATATCATTTCCCATCATGACCTGGACTCCAGTCACCTCTGTCAATCAAACACATACCATTTCCCACCATGACCCAGACCCAGTCACAGCTGTCAATCAAACACAGATCATTTCCCATCATGACCCGGACCCCAGTCTTAGCTGTCAATCAAACACATGCCATTTCTCATCACGACAGACAAATGGAGAGACAGACAGTTCCTGTCCCCAAGCAGACAACACTCCAGAAACTCCCTCAACACCTGTCACGTGCTCCCACCAACCCTGGGGTTCCCCCCTGCCAAGGTCAAGGGTCACAGAGAGCAATCGACCCCCCCCCCCCGTATTGTGATAATAAACTGAATAATCTACCACACTCACCCTGAGCTCCTGCTGCGGCTCCTACATGCAGAGAGTCATTCCTGCCAGGCTGGTACAATGGTCAGGCCTCATTAGCATATCCTGGTATCCCTGCCTTATTAGCATAATTAAGTACCCCACTGTCCTCATTACCATAATTACATATTAATTAGGGAGTCTGGACTACAACCCCCCCCCCCCAATCCGAGCTCTTTATACAGAGTTTTAATGATAACCTGGAAGAAATGAAGCTGCGGTCACACAGAGGTCAAGCAACAGGTCTCACAGGACTTCAGCTGCCCACATTTCAATCACCAGTGTGGGGAATTTAGGGGGGGAATTAATGAAGAATAAACGGAGAGGGGCAGGAGCATGCTGGGAGGGGCTTGTTTATGATGGGGTGGGCCTGTGCATGCTGGGATGGACTTGTGTATTATGGTGTAACTTGTGTGTTACTGAATAGGTCTGTGTATCATGAACCTGTGTATTAAGGGAGGGTCTTGTGTATTATGGGAGGGGCCTGTGTATTACAGAATGGGTCTGTGTCTTATGGGAGGGGCCTGTGTATTATGGTAGTGGCCTGGTACATGCTTGGGAGGGGTCTCTGTATTTTGGGAGGAGCCTGGTGCATGCTGGGAGAGCCTTGGTCATTGCTGGGCACTCCCCACACTGGCCATGCACACTCAGGCTCCTACATTTGCTGCTACTGTCCCAGTGTCAGCAAGCTAGCTTGTACAGATCACCTTAAGGGAGTCAGGGAGTCCTGCAGCTCCTGCTGGTCTAACCTCCTCCCCTGTAGCTATTTCTACAGAAACTTATAGCATCTGACGTTGGAGTGGCTGAGGTGGGACGGGAATTTCCAAAATAAAATTAAATTAAATTAAATTAAACATGAATCTTGGCTGCCCAGGCCCAAGTAGGCTGAAAACGGGTTCCAGCGTGATCCCTGTCGACCCCGCCCAACCAGACAGACCAGTTCCTCCGGGTGGGGGTTGGGGGACACCAAGGAGACAGTGGCGAGCTAGGTCAGAACCGGCTGTAACCCACCGGATCCGCTGTTCGGCCTTGACAGTGAGTCTGGGCAGGAGGGGGAGGGGCAGAGGGAGGGGGCTGCGCCCGCGATCCCAGGACGGGCAGCCTTGTCTTCTGGGGGGAATCCATCGCGGGAAAAGGAGCGGGGAGCGGGAGGACAGCAGAGAACGCTCACCCTCCCCCACCCTGGGGAGAAAACCAAAAATACTTCAAAGGCTCCTTTCTGTGCTCGCGGGAGGGTCCGTCACGGCGGGTTGGTGTAGCTCTGCGTGGGAAACCTTGGGGTGAAAAAAAGTTGGTTAACAAAACGAAACCAAAGTTATTTTTTGCAGAAAAAGAGCTTGGAGGGAGACAGGAAAGACGAGGAAGAGTTGGGAAAACTAAACTGAATTAAGATGGATGAGAATCAAAAGCTAAATTAAGTTGAATAAGAAAAATGGAAATGGCATTTAAAAGAAATCTAAACAGAAATGAAATTGGAAAGCACACTGAGACGAAAGTTAAACTAGAAATAAAATTGAAAATTAGTCGAAATTTAATGAAAATAAAAATTAAGTTGAATTAAAGTAAAATTATAAAGAAAAAATTTTAAATTAATTAAAAAAAAAACAAACAAAACACTTGTTGGGCTGCTGTGCTGTGTGGCGCCTGTCCCAGCGAGGCACATTTGAAAAATAAGTAAGTAGACAAAGTGGGAAACTGTCAAAACCATTATTTCTATGAGTTTTTAGCCTATGACAGAGCGAGATTCTCAAATATGAAAAGTTTTTTAAAGTTTTAGAACATTAAAGATTTTTTTAATGGTTTTTAAAAATTAATATTTATCACGACTCTACCAAGCTCCCGTCCCACAGGCACTGGCAAAATCCCAGCCTTGCGCAGGATGGGAAAATCATCAGGAATCAAAATATTTACACATGGAGTGCCCAGGGGTCGGTAACTAAAAGATGAAATTTATCTCTAAATTCAATTTCAGCCGAAGTTAAAAATGAAAGCGCTGGAGGGTCTCTCCCGTAACACAGGCCCCTCTATTTCCGTTTCCGGTGCTATCAGGTCTCCAGCAGTCCTCTCCAACAAGTTTCCTGACCAGCAACTCTAGAAAGGGTCACGCTGATGATGTCACAGTTGATCCATTAAGGGCCACGTGGGGGACGTGGGCAAGTGGGCAGCAGTGACGTCATTGACAACTCTGTCAACTGTCATTACCCAGAATTCCCTGGAAGGGTCTCAGGGGTTTGGCCTGTGGGTGTGTCCTTAAGGATGATTGACATGAGAACTGTACGTGTCCTGAAGGATGATTGGTAGGGGAGGACTATAGGTGGGTCCTGAGGGATGATTGACAAGGGAGGGTTGTGGGCGTGTCCTGAGGTATGATTGACATGTGAGGGTTGTGGGCGCGTTCTGAGGGAAGATTGACACAGGAAGGCTGTGGGCGAGTCCTGAGGTATGATTGACATGTGAGGGCTGTGGGCGTGTTCTGAGGGAAGATTGACACAGAAGGGCTGTGGACGTGTCCTGAGGTATGATTGACATGTGAGGGCTGTGGGCGTGTTCTGAGGGAAGATTGACACAGGAGGGCTGTGGGCGTGTCCTTTATGGATGATTGACGGAGTGGGGGCATTTCCACTGTGGGCGTCACCATCACTCAGGCAGATGGAGGGGCAGGGACTATGCAGGTGTCCTTTTTGTCACATGCTCACTTGTCACGTGTTTACTTCTCATAGGAATTCTCAGGCCAGAAGCATCATGCCACATCACCCACATTTATGGTAAGAGAATCTCCCAGAAGTCCTTGTGGAAATTTAATTGACAGTTTATAATTATTTGAAAATTAACCCTGTACACACCCATGGTGGCCGGAAGTCTCCACTGGATCTCTGGACCCACATGTAGCTACCCAGCATGCACTGCAGTGATGACGTGCATGCTCCCTGCCTCAGAGACAGGGATAGAAGAAGCAGGATCGATGGATGACATATCACATGTGTTTCAGGAATTGCCTTGCTGCCCTACTGGGTGTCTTCCTCAGCCTGGAGCCGGTCACGTGCCTGGACACATCACAGTCTCGACCCAACTTCCTCCTGCTCCTGGCAGACGACCTGGGCATCGGGGATGTTGGCTGCTATGGCAACAGCACCGTCAGGTGAGGAAGGAGAGTGTAGCATGAATTCTAACTGGCCTTAATAATTAAAACCTGGAGTCAGATATGGGGTAGACGCTAAAGGTTCAGAGAAGTGAAAGAGCAGTCAGCCACCAGACTTTCTACCTCTACTGAATCCGCAGACCGAAAGGGTGAGCTACTGTCCCTGCCCCGTCTTGTCACTTCCTGTCTGTCCTCTGTAAAGACCTCCAGACCTCTATGATTAGCTAATGGCTAGCTCCACCCTCTGATCTTCAGACAAGCTTTATTTGTTAGAGCACAAAATATCACCGCAGGGGAGGGCCCCGGGTACCCATAATGCTCCTCACCAGGATACCCATAATGCTCACCAGGAGACCCAAAATACTCCTCGCAATGGTACCCATAATGCATCAGGATCTGCCCTTCCCATGATGCCAAAGCTGGACACTGATTCACCCAAGGTGTCAGTTCAGGATTTCCCATGATGCCTAGGGCCAGATAGTGAAGTGAGCCTCACCAGGCCAACCTTGCCCAGTGAGGCTGACATTGGGGTCACGTGGGTGTGCCAGTGTCACAAGGGTGTGTTGGCCCCCCCACGCCATGATCCATGCCCCCGCCCCTCCCCACCAGGACCCCGAACATCGACCGACTTGCAGAAGGTGGTGTGAGACTCACACAGCACCTGGCAGCTGAAGCTGTGTGCACGCCCAGCCGGGCAGCTTTCCTCACCGGGAGGTACCCCATCCGCTCAGGTAGGTGGGCCCACATGCCCCTGATATCACTTCCTCCACTCAGTCCCACCCGTACGTCCCCCACAATGGCCCACCGAGCAATGACTCCATGGACTACTGATGATGTCACTCCTTCCACTAGACCTCACTGATGGCACAACTTCCTCCAGATAGGCATGTTCCTTCCACTGGCCCCATTCCTAAGTCCCTCCCACTGACCTATGACTCCAGCCTTGGATAATCCCACTGATGACGTCACTTCCCCATTAGGCCCCACTGATGATGTCACTTCCTCTACTCGGCTCCACTCCTAACTGCCCACCCACAATCCACTGAGTTATGACTACATCCATGGATGATCACACTGATTATGTCAGTTCCTCCCCTAGGCCCGGCTCCTAAATCCCCCTCCTGACCGATTACTATATCCATGAATGATCCTCTTGGTGAGGTCACTTCCTCCCACTAGATCCCACTGTTGACATCACTTCCTCTGTTATGCCACACTGATTGTTACTTCGTCCAATGTCCAATGATGTCACTTCCTCTCATTAAGCCGCATTCCTAAGTCCCTCCCACCGACCTATGATTCCATCCATGTATGACCCCCACTTATGACGTCACTCCCTCCCACTATGTGCCACTGATGAGGTAGCTTCCTCCCTCTATTCTGGACACCTGAGTTCTTCTGTGAAAGGCAGAACCACGGGCATGCTGGGAGCTGTGGGAGGCAGCTCTAGGGGAATCCTACTGTGTGCTCCATGTCCTACTGTGTGTACACTCTCCAGATTTATCGTCCTTCCGGTGCAGGCATGACTTCCGGTAATGGCCACCGTGTCCTCCAGTGGGCCGCAGGCTCTGGCGGCCTTCCTGCAGAGGAGATAACGTTCGCAAAAATCCTGAAGGAGCAAGGCTATGTCACGGGCCTCATCGGTGTGTTCTCTGATGTCCTTGGGATGTAGGGGGTGGTGACATCATCTGACCTGGATGGGTAGTGATGTCACCAGACTTGGCGCTGGTTGTGTCATCATCACACATGGATCTGGTGATGATGTCATCCTTCGTAGAGCGTGTGGTGATGTCATCTGAAATGGAGTGGGTGGTGACTTCACCTGACTCAGTAGGGGGTGAGACTAAGCAGGAGACCATGTGATGTTAAGCAGGTGATGATGTCACTGGGCCACCAGCACCCACCTGCCCATGCGGTTTCTTCCCCCTCCTCCAGGGAAGTGGCACCTGGGTCTGAACTGTGACTCCTCCTCCGACCACTGCCACCACCCACTGAGTCACGGGTTCCAGCACTTCCTGGGCATGCCGCTGGGCATGATGGGGGACTGCACAGGGGCAGAGCCCTCGGAGAAGCGCGTGACTCTGCAGCACCGCCTGCACCTTTGGGGCCAAGTATCCGGGCTAGCTGCGCTCACCCTGGCCGCTGGGAGACTCACCCGGCTCCTGCGGACACCGCGGTGGATGCTGGTCCTCGGCCTGGCTGCTGTGGCCACCATGTTCCTTGCTGCATCGCGTCACATAGGTGACCTCATCATCTACGCAGATTGCTTCCTCATGAGAAACCACAGCGTGACCCAGCAGCCCCTGCGCCTCGAGCGAGTTACAGGCCTCATGCTCCGGGAGGCGGAGACCTTTCTGCAGAAGTGAGTAGCACAGGGCATGTTGGGAAATCCCTGACCATCTCCCCACGCCCTCTCTCCCTCCCATGGTGCCCTGTGGGGAGTCGGTTGTCAGTCATTCACATGGAATGGGCCTAGTTGCCCTGTACACGTGAGTCTGAAATAGACTATGGGAACAGGGTGAGGAAAAAAATCAATAACCGTTTGGTGGGGTGTCTTCAACCCTCGACTGCCAGGAAGTAAGTGGAGGCAGAGAGGGTGGCGGGATTGACGACAACTTGGACACAGAACAACTACTATGTGATCAGTAAATGAGGAGGTGGGTGATGGGTACTGATTGGTTGATTGACTGATGGATGGAGACTAGAAGCAGAGATAGGCAGGTGGATGATTGACGGGTCGATGCGTAACAGATAATTGAGGGATTGATTGACAGCTGATAGGTAGCTGAAGGCCTGATCAGAGAGTGACTGATAGATGATCGATGAATACACACACAAGACAGAAATACGTGATTGACAGGTCTGTAAAGGATGGTTGATAGATGACAGATAGATTGATTGACAGATACATGATTGATTGACAGGCAATAGGTACAGATTGATTTACAGGTATATGATTGATTGACAAGTATAGATACAGATTGATAGATATAAATACAGAATGATTGACAGAAACATGATTAACATTTATAGGTACAGATTGGTGGACACACATGATTGACAGATGATAGGTACAGTTTGACTGAAACATGATTGACAGACGATAGGTAAAGATTGATTGACAGATGATAGGTACAGATTAAAAGAAACATGATTGACAGAAGTACAGATTGATTGACAGATATATGGTTGACAGATATCGGCACAGATTGATTGACAGATGATAGACAGTTGATAGAAAGATGAGATGGAAAAAACAGTACTAATGTTGTCAGGCTCCAGGCGGAAATGACTGAAGCCAAGAGGCAGGACTACGGGAAATCAGGGAGGAAGTAGGTCAGAGGCAATGGTATCACTGAGAATAGGAGGGACCGGCAGGGAGATTCTGTCTCTTCTGCCGCTGACGTCACCACCCCCTGCAGCCACAAGCACCACCCCTTCCTGCTGTTCATGTCTTTCCTGCACGTGCATGTGCCCCTCGTGACCACTGCGGACTTCCGGGGGCGAAGCAAGCACGGGCCATACGGGGACAATGTGGAGGAGCTGGACTGGATGGTGGGTGAGTGCCGGGTGGTGGCAGGCGCTGGTGGGAGTGCCCGGGTCAGCGTGCGTCCCCACGCCCCCAGGGCCCCCAGGGTCCCAGGGTCCCACATGCCCGTCCTCACAGGGCGGGTCCTGGACGTGCTGGACCGGGAAGGACTGACGGACAACACGCTTGTGTATTTCGCGTCTGACCATGGCGGCTCACTGGAGTCTCGTGTGGGTCACGTGCAGCTCGGGGGCTGGAACGGGGTGTACAGAGGTGAGCTCGGTACTCCGCTCAGGTACTTAACAGGAGCACTCTCCACAGCCTCGACCATGCATTCCTTGGCTGGTGGCCCCATCTCCCCCTCCCATGATCCTTCACTTCCCTACTTCTGGTTCCCAGGGTGACAGTGCCCTGGGCTGGTGGCCCGGCCCATCTGCCCATGATCCTTCACTCTCATCACTTCCGGTTCCCTGAGTGACAGGTGTTCTTGTATGTTGTCCCTGTCCCTCCCTCTCCCCTTCACTCTCCTCCCCTACTTCAAGAACCCGAGGTGACTGGTTTGTTGGCTGGTGGCCCTGCCCCTCCATCCCATGATCCTTCATTCTCTTCCCTCCACTTCCTGTTCCTGGAGTGACAGCTGTCCCGGGCTAGTGGCCCTGCCCGAACTGGGTGACAAGTGTCCTTGGCTGCTGGCCCCCTCCCACTTCCCATGATCCCTCTGAGTTCCTGGGGTGACAGGTATTCTGGGGTTGTGCCCTTGTCTCTATCTCCCATGATCCCTCACTGTTCCCCGCCCCTCCTCTATTCATTGCTACTTCCGGTTCCCAGCCTAAATTCTGGTCCCTCCCTCGCAGGCGGCAAAGGCATGGGCGGCTGGGAGGGTGGCATCCGCGTTCCCGGCATCTTCCGCTGGCCCGGTGTGCTGCCCGCAGGGCGGGTTGTGGATGAGCCAACGAGCATGATGGATGTGTTCCCCACCGTGGTCCTCCTGGGGGGCGGGGCGGAGCCAACGGACAGGTGAGCAATGATGTCACACTTGAAGTGAGCCTGGGTGACCGCTGCTGTCACAAAGGTGTGGCACAGGGGTTGGGTCAAGCACGGTGGACAGGTGGTCACTAACATCATACTGGAAGTGAGCCTGGGTGACAGGTGCCTGAGTGGCAGCTGCTGTCACGTGAATGCAGGGCTGAGCCTCAGGACTGGTGAGCAATGGTGTTACACCGGAAGTGTTCCTGGGTACAGCTGCTGTCATGTATGTGCGGACAGGGTGGGGCGGAGCAACTGGGGACAGGTGAGCACTGACATCACACTGGAAGTTAACCTGATGTCAGCGGCTGTTACATGGGAGAAGGAGAGGGAAACCATGGAACCAGTGAGCAGTGACATCACACGAGACGTCAGTGACTGCTGCGGTTATGTGGGCACATGGTGGGTGCAGGGCAGAAGGGTGGATGAGCAATGACGTCACACCGGAAATATGCTTGAATGTCAGGTGGGGCTGTCACATAGTACAATGGGGGGGACAGGGCTGCAGAGGACTTGAGTGACAGGTGTGATGTCACGTGGTACAATAAGGGGGCGGGGGAGGGGGATAGCATAGGACTTGAATGATAGGTGGTACTATAGGCCCCCATACTAGCATTGTGGAGCACCTGTTTGATTGACAGCCAATGTGTCACCAACCCCCCAGGGTGATTGATGGGAAGAATCTGATGCCCCTGCTGCAAGGGGAGACCCCACACTCAGACCATGAGTTCCTGCTGCACTACTGTGAGGTGTTCCTGCATGCTGCGCGCTGGGTGCAGCGTGACCGTGAGTACACACATTGCCCCTCCCCATAGGAAGGGAATACTTCTGGTTAAGAGTGGCCATGGGTTAGGCTCCTCCCCTTTTGGCATCCATCAGTCAATGAAGTCACTCTTCGGGGCTATGTACTGTTCCCCTCCCCCTGAGTAGACATACTGCCATTCATCCCTGTGATTGGCAGCTGTCAATCATCCATTTAACCGGCAGGAGGAAGAGTCTGGAAGGTTCACTTCATGACCCCGAACTTCCACCCGGAAGGGGCAGGTGCCTGCTACGGCAGCAAGGTGTGCCCGTGCATAGGGGACGTGACAGAGCACGACCCGCCTCTGCTCTTCGACCTCTCTACAGACCCTGGAGAGACCCACCCCCTGACGCCTGACTTGGAGCCGGAGTTCCACACAGTAGTGGGGAAACTGCGGCAGGAGGCAGCAGGGTACTCACTGAGCCAGGTCCGCCAGCAGCTGGGCTCCATCTACAACATCTGGCGCCCATGGCTGCAACCATGCTGCGGGGAGTTCCCACGCTGCGGGTGTGACCTTGAGGAGTGACACCCATATGACACCCACGTGGAGCCAAGGGGCGGGGCTTCGCACTTCCAGCAACCTCAGAACTGGAAGTTGTAGCCATTACAATGCATTGTAGGTCCGGGTTTGGGGAGTTCCTGTGGTGAGGTGCATTGTGGGTGCTGGTGCAGGGTGTTCCACTGGTGCAGGTGTGACCTTGAGGAGTGACGCCCACGTGACACCCTCACAAGACCCCACCGTCGTGAGGCCAAGAGGTGGCTTTGCATGTCCATCACCTTCAGAATTGGATATTAAGGCCATCACAATGCACTGTGGGTGCTGTTGCGGGATGTTCCACTTGTGTGGGTGCGACCTTGAAGAGTGATACTCACGTGAAACCCACTGGGTACTCAGGGTCAGCGTGGGGTGTGACCAATAGGAGTGATGCTCATGTGACACCACGCAGGCTGAGATGTGGGGCTTTGCCTGTCCATCACTGTCAGAATTATGTCCATAGCAACCGTTGTTGGGCTTCCTCCAGGTTTGAGTCTAGAGTGCTAACAGCCAGCTGTGATGTGCCTTTTGTGATAGCTCCCTGGGAGTTTACTAGGGGTGCAAAGCTTATGCAAAACTTGGTTGGGAAAAACCTGGCAAACCAGGGTATTCCTTGATGGAAAATTTGCATTGGGCATTATCCCTTTGAGACGCTTAGATAAGATATTTTGGGATGTGGAAATCAACTTGCTAAAGGTGTAAACTGGATAACAATAAAAAAGCCCTTGGCTAAGGAAGAGGTCTCAGTCTGCTAGAGGCTAAGTCCCCCTGCAGCTGGAAAGGTTAAAATCATCCTTAAGGTGCCTCTGGGTCTTCTTTCCAAGGACCCACATGAGCCCACACCAGATCTACAACTCATTGTGGGTGCTCGTGCTGGGCATTCCCAGGGTGCAGGTGTGACTGCGAGTGACATTCATGCCTGACTTCCCTCACAGGACACAGACACTGGGGGGTGAGGTGGGGTGGAAAATTGGAATTTTCACCCCAAAATATAAATCGAAATTTCCCAAAAAAATACAGAAATAAAATTTAAAATTCCCAGACAGAGTCCAAGTCCAAAGAGAGTTGGAATGTTTCTGATCGAGACCAAACATGTTGAACTATATTTGGAACTTGTGTGTGTGATGTCATACCCACTTGACCTTTATTGAAACCACCTGACTAGTGAATGCCACCTCAGGTGAAGTGTTGAGGTGAACACAGAGGGAGTCTTTTATTTTGGCGGGGGGTGGGGGTGGGGGTGGGACGGGACTTAGCTCTATGTACCAAACCCGAAATTTAGCAGTGCAGGGGCTAAGCTCCGGCCCACAATGTATTGCGTATGGGCCAACTGTTACTAAATTGACTGATAGAATAACAAAAACTACTGGAGAACCGGATGTCCGTTACCCCCCCCCCCCTTTCTCCCCTCTCTTCTCTCTCATCATCATCCCCCTGCCATAGACATGATCCAAGCCTGGGTGCCATGGATCTATGTCTGTTAATATTCTGATCCCGGCCCCTTCCTCTCTCTCTCCTGCTTTCTTCCCACGAGGTGTGCACCCCTCTCCTTTCTCTCTCTCTCCTTCTCTCCCCCCCAACCCCCAACGAATAAAACTTCACTGAGCCCCGTCTGCATGGCATCTCTGTCTCTCACCCGCCACGGGACACCTTGGCTCTACCCTCCAGGACCTGCCGCATACAACATCATAACACTGTCCACCCCCACAGTCCATTACAAGAGCAGGTATTGGGGTTCTCCTGGCGGGGCTTAATCCGGAATCTCAGACTTTTCTGCCAACCAAGCCGAACCAGCTTGCAACTGAGTAGACCCTAGAGGTGAGGCTGTGGGGGTGGCGGCGGAGTAACCGGAATAAACCGTATTAAACCAGATAGCTTCCCACAGGGGATCGCTGTGAGGAGGTGGGTCCCGGGTGGGGGAGGAGAGGGGAGGCTGGGGTGGGGGGTGGGCATCCGCACACTTCACCCAAGCCCGCCAAACCTGTAGCTAAAAAATGTCTGGGGCCACTGCAACCCCACCAGGTCACCCCTTAACCTCCACCTGGCCCGTGACCCTGTCATTAATGGTTTCACCGCATCCCATAATATGCTCCCGGGTTCCGCCGGGCCTCCGGGCCTCCTTCAATCATGTCTCCAGGTCCAGCTCCTCCACGTCTTGTCGCCTTCGGTCTCCTCCCTAGTCCTGTCAATTACGTCTCCTGTTGCCCCCGCCTCCCTTACTCCTTTTCCTTTCCCCTCCTCGTCCTGTCAATCAAGTCTCCCGTTCCCGCCCCTCCCCTGCTCCTTTTCCTTTCCCCTCCTTATCCTGTCAATCACATCTCCCGTTCCCGCCCCTCCCTTACTCCTTTTCCTTTCACCTCCTTGTCCTGTCAATCACATCTCCCGTTCCCGCCCCTCCCTTACTCCTTTTCCTTTCACCTCCTTGTCCTGTCAATCACGTCTCCCGTTCCCGCCCCTCCCTTACTCCTTTCCGTTCCCTCCTCGTCCTGTCAATCTCGTCTTCAGATCTTGGCCCTCCCCTCTCTCGGCCCCTTCCATTCCTTTCCTGGTCCCGTCAATCACGTCTCCCGGTCCCGCCCCTCCCCTGTCTTGTAGCTTTCTGTTCCCCTCCAGGCCTCAACAATCGCGTCTCCCTATCCCGCCCCTCCCTCTCTTCCCTTCTGATCCCCTCCCCGTCAATCATGTCTCTGAGTCCCGCCCCTTTCTTACTCCTAAATTCCCCTCTTAGTCGGATTCTGTTCCCACCCAAATCAACTCGGACTGGCCTTTCAGGTTCCCGTAGGTGACGCAGGAATCCCTGGTCTCGCTCGGTCCTGAAGCGGCTCATCGGAAGTGGATAATTCGCCTGGGCAGCCCGTGACGCTACGCCCTCTGTCGGCCGCCGTAGGTACTAACAGCCCCGCTAATAAAAAAATACAAATACATTAAAATAAATTATTCTTCTGGAATTGGGGACAAGGCAGAGAGCAGGGCCCTGTCTGTGTCACTGTGCATAGGAAGCACTGCTGACCGGTCTGGAGTGAGGCACATGGAGGGAGCAAATGAAATGAAAGCTCCTACCTTAGCTGAAAAATCTTTTCACATTAAGTAACCCTGAAAGTCTGGTGAGGTGAGTAAGACTGTCCCCCTACCCTGACAATAGGGAAATGAGGAGAGGTGAGACCCCAAAACTCCCTCAGGACTGATTAAGTGGCTCAGTATCCAACATGAATGAAATGGATCGCCTCCATGCTGCATCCTGGGTTCCCTGTGAGCTTGAACCTAAGCCTGGGAAGTCTGCTGGAGGTTGGTGTTGTTTGTCCCCATGCCACTTGGTGCCCGGGTGCAGTCAGCTGACCAGTTGTCTCTCTGGGTGGCACTTTGAACAAGGCTAAATTGATGGCCTGGCAGGGCACACACTAGCCTGAGTAGCCTTCTAAAACAAGGACCTGGGAGCCCTTATGCAGCCACTTGGATGGCGTGTGCCAGCATCATGACTGCTTCTTAATGTGTTTATAATTTTTCCTAGGCTCCAGAAACTAGCTTAAACCATTCTGACAGATTGGACCTACTTCAGATAAGTGCCAAACCCAAACTTTCCTGGTCATGGGATCCCCTCTATCACCCTGGGAATTCCCCAAAGGAAATAATAATAATAATAATAATAATTCTTTCTTCTAAGCTTTTCTCTGTCTTACCAGCATCCTGTCAGACACAACAGCAGCCAAAATGCCAAGCCAAGAAAGATGAACAGCTCTGAGGCAGCAGATGATAGCGGACCATCCCAGGACACCTGTCTACCTCAGAAGCCCCCTTCCCTACCGCCCAAGAGTCAACTGACACCTATCAAGTCAGCTTGAAGCAGTTTTTCTGGGAGAAATGATGCCCCTGTTCCTGTTCATTCACTTTTTTTTATAATAAACAAAAAGCTTGGAATGTTAAAAAAAATAAAATTAATTAATTAATTAGAATTTTAAATAACTCGTTTAAATTAAATTTCATAACAGCCAGGACTACACACAGAAAATCTGTCTCTAAAAACCCAAATGGGCAAATTAAAATAAAAAGATTGGTAAACAAGTTGATATAAAATGAATGAGTTTTTTTAATTCACTTTAAAGAAATAAATTTGAAATGAATTAGCTGAAAGTCGATTTCAAAAATTAATTTAAAATAAATGTATTTAATGTAAACTAGTTTACAAAGTATTAATTAGAAATAAAATATATTTATTAACAATAAATTAATGACATAAACTAATTTGCAATAAATTAGAGATAAATTAATTAGATATAAATTATTTTATAATTAATTAATTTGAGAAAGATTAATTTACTGTAAATTACTTGGAAGGAGGATACTAATTGGAAGTAAATCAACTTAAAAGAAACCAATCTTAAATAAATTAATTTGAAATACATCAATTATAAATAAATTAATTGAATTAAAATTATTTAAAATTAAGGAATTTAACATAAACCAGTGTCAGGTGACCTGTTGAAGTCTCCATCTGCACAGGTGCCATGTTGTCTCCAGTCCTGCTGCTGTCTCTTGAAGCTTCTCGGTCTACCTTGGTGATCCCCAGGAAGCCAAGCATTCTCCTCATCATAGCAGGCGAGCTGGACTTAGGACACCTCGGTTGCTTTGGCAATAATAGACTGAGGTATGGGTTGTCCCTCCGATGGTCCTTCACTCTCCTCCCACCACTTCCGGTTCCAGTTGGGGTGGGTTGGGGGGTAGGTTGGGGGGTGACAGGTGTTGTTGGCTTGTTGCCTCCTCCATTTGCATTCTTAGACTGAGGATCACTGGGATGAGGTCACCAGTTAACTCCCATGATTCCCCAAGGGCTGGAGCCTTTTTCCTCCAGTCACGTGGTGTGACTGACCGTGGAGTGACTGGTCCACTAGGAGCCAGAATGTGGATTGTTGGGCTGCAGAGGGCGTCAGGTCACCTAGCAAATCACTGTGGCCCCACTGTGCACCCCAAGCCCTGCTGCCCTCCTCACCAGCCTCCTGGCCTTCCAGTCTGGTCGTGATGTCATCACAGTGGATAGTAGCTTTAGGATCACCAAAGACCTGCGGAACCTGATCAATCCACCCACTTGCCAATCAACCTGAAATCCTGTCAATCACCCAAACACATGTCAATCATCTACCCGACACCAACCTGTCCACCAGTCAGTCAACTCACATAAACATCAGTCATCCCTCAGGACATGTCTACATCTCCTCCTTTGTCAATCATTCCTCAGGACATGGCCATAGCCTTCCCGTGTCAATCATCCCTTAGACAGGGCCACAACCCTCCTGTGTCAGTCATCCATCCCTCAGGAGACACCCACAGCCCTTCCAGGTCAATCATCCATCTGATCCAGCCCACCCATGATTGACAGGTCAGACACCCTCTGTGTCATGAATCAATTTTGTTAAACTTCCTGTTTTGTTTATGATACAAGACATTGGCCCCTCCCCTGCCCCACACTGGGGGCGTGTCCATTCGCAGCCTAGAATATACTGCACTCTGCCGCTCCCCCCAACAAAACGTAAGAGTAAATACTTCAGTGCAGATGCAGAGAGTGGTAAACAGGCCAGGAGAGGTTACAAGGTCACGTGGGGTCATGCTGGGGTCACAGGGGGTCAGAGGTGGGGCCTCACCAGCTGAGACATCAGGCACTTGGTACATTTCAACTTAATCCTCACACCCTAGTTTAAACTAGCACATTTTCCCCTCCCCCCACTGACCCGCCATCAAGCTGCAGATGTGAAGTCAGGGGACTACCTGGAGAGACACCCGCCTTCTCTAAAAATATCAAA